CTTTTGTGATTTGGGTGCATGGATCTTAAAGAATTATTTTGAAATGTAGCAACCTTCTGATGATGATAGTTTTTTTTATATTCCTTTAAAGTCCCTGTGGATGATCCTTGTTCCATCTGGGTGTTGGTGAAACACTGAGTAGGCAGTGACACCCGCAATACAGATCACATTTCAGCCCCCATGTCCCAGAGCTGCAGAATTTAGCTTAAGTGATGCAGAGACTTTAAGAGAATGGTAGATGATGATAACTGATGATTAAGTACTCTGTCTTTATAGCCTTTTAAGAAAAATTATAATGAAATTTCTCACTATCCTTTTGTTTCTTGCTGTCATAATAGCTCTTTGTAGGCTTGCGTAGGCTTTGTACTAGAGCAAAGAAAAAAGGCAGCAGGATCTTAGATAAAGAAACTACTGAAATTGTCCTGGAAAAAGGTTGCAAAGGTTATTGTTAACTACTGTATAGCAGAATTTCCAGGAAAATCTACCAGCTCAGGCAAGAAACTACTACTTTGCCTTGCTGATGATAGAAAAATGAACGTAGGGACTCTAATTTGCTATTTTAGTTTATTTCTGTTCTTTAACTCACTGTAGTTTCAAATAACGTGCTAGAATTATTAGAGCTGATGGATTTTTTTTTTAATCTTCCTTTCCCCCTACCCTCCCATCCCTATTAGTTTAGATGTAATTGGTATTCATAAATGTTGTTTGCTTCATTTAGGACTCTGTTCTGCAAATTCCTATTCACACTACCTGCTTGTCAGTGCTTGCCTCAGGGTAGTTACATGTATGGTAGCTGTTGGCAGAACTGAGCCATTTGTTTTTGTTTTCCATTAAGTAAGAGAGATTTTATTTTTCCTTCAAACAGGTTCAAGTCTCTGTCACCTGTACCCTCAGGTCAGAATAGATCTGTCCCTGCGATATTTGGTATATACTCACTGAGAGACTTGAGTTGTTCTATACAGCCCCTAAAACAACTTGAAAAAGGAACAAAAAAAACCCAGCCTTATACAGATAAAGAAATATTCTCAGTGGATTCCACTTAACCTATTCAGTGAGCTGAATATGTTATATATTATTATGTTATACTGTGTGTGTGTGTATGTGTGTTACAGTCCTTCTCCCGAAATAGTGGGAGGATTTCAGGAAAGCAGATTAGTTCTTGTGGGTACTCAGACCTGTTCCAAAACCCCTCAATATATGAGCTTGCTCCCAGTTAGTGGGTTTTGCTAAGCTGTATCCTACTGGTGTTTTGAGGCAGGATTGTGATGGCTGTGCTTCTGCATAGTAGTAATGTATGAAACTGTCCTCTGATCATGACAACAGACCTTTGAGGGAAGCTGTGCTCCCAGGAATCAGTGGCTCTGAGTTGCTGTTAATCTTTGATTCTTAATGGGATAGGTGAAATGGCAGCAGTGGACTCTGTCTAGGATTGAATAGTCTGGAAAACTTCATCTCCCGTGTGTGTGTGTGTGTGTATGCTTCAGTGCTGTGTTTCAGATTCAGTAGTTCAAAAGAGCAGTCCAGTGCTGTTGCACATAGCAATGTCAGGCACCAAGCCACAATGCTTTGAATGCCTTGTGGCTCTGTTACAGGGATTGATTCTTCCATTATCTTCCACAGCATTTTTGCTCTATTGCTACCTAGCTGCTGTTCTAGTGGCACAGCCTGTCACATGCTCCTTAGCAGAATAGTAGCTGTTGTTCTCTTCAGCATTCCACATCTTTCATTGCAGCATCTTTTATTGTGTGTGTGTGTATGCATATACGGATGTGTTAGTTACAGTTCATGCTGAGTAACTTCTATGCTGAATCTAAGAATGTTAACAATTTGCACCTTTGCCTTTTGGAATGCTTTTTTCTTATTGTAAAACCCTTAAGTACATTGATCTTGAGGCATTTAGACAATCTTCATACGTAGATCTAAATTTTCCCTGTACATACATAAGTAGCATAGAACACAGAATGGGAATCTAGAAAAAATGAGACCTAGAGAAATCCAGCCAAAGTAGAAGATCAAGGAAAACTGAGCAAAAATGTAGAAGAAAGGGGGCTGAGGGAGATAAGGACTGCAAATACACATGGGCAATAGCATTAGTCTTAGCTCCTATTGCAGCATGAGGCAGTGATTTGAAAAACAGATATCATCACTAACAAAGAGGAAGATCTTGCTTTAGAAATAGATGTGAGAAAGATTCCTCCTACAGCAGGCACACAAAGTTTTCATCTTCCCACTCACGCCACTGCTTCAACAGCCTGCAGCCTTGTTTGCATCCTGCAGTTTGCATCCTCAGTTGAGTGGGGCTGGAGACTGAAAGTTACAGTTCAGCAAATATACTCTTGCCTACTGCTGCCTGGGACAGCATGCCCCACTGATATGGGGCTGAAAGTGATCTTTTCCCACCTAGCTCCAGTCTCCTGCTTCCCTTGTTTTAGGGGAAAAAGGATTGTGAGTAGATATAAAATAAAGAATAAAATAAAAAATTGTCAGCACTTCTTATTGCATGAGTACCTTAAGCATATTCATTCCAGGCAGCTATAACCTAAGCAGTTAAATTTCCCTTGGAGCTGAAGTTGAATTTGGCCCATTGTCTCTCCTTCTCACCCACAGCACAAATAAAAGCTGTGGCTTTTGAGGGCTGGGTGGGAGGGAGGAGGTGGGAAAGCCACTAGAGTGTGGTTGCATTGACAGCTGACATGTATTCCTTGGAAACCTGTGCTTCTCATCACTTCTGGATATAGCAGTATGACACATCATTGGGAGACATGATACAGTGTGTTAGGAGTGGGACATCATGATGAGCATAGGATCTTTATAGAACGGATATAGAACCCTGGTGACTTCTGGTTGGGGGGGGGAGGGACCCAGCAATACAAACCTGAAAATTGGCTTGGACTCTTCAAAAACTCCACTTTAGGCAGAAGTTACATCCAGAGGGATTATTTCAACTCACAATGATGTTTACTTCCAGTTGTTCTGTGAATAACTTTGGGTCCTGTTTGTCTGCAGCAGAAACTGAGGAAAACAGAAGGGTTTCTCCTATCTGCTAAATAGGCTACACAGTAATCATTTTTAATCTCTTTTGCTTGAATAACAATTACATTGCTCTTTTCTCCAGAAGGAGGCTTGGACCACTTACAGGTGCTGTGCAAGTGTCTTTCATTCTCACTAACTGCAGTTAGCCCTGTGCTAGAGCAGTGCTGCTGCTTAGCAATGCACAGTAGCAATCTGGAATGATTTAAGGCAAATAATATAGAGTATGATACTGCAGGGGTGTATAAACCTGCAGAAGGGATTTATTAAACTGTAACTTAGCTGGAGCTAGTGACATCTGTGGAATTTCAGCAAGTACATCTGAGTCTTCATGATTCTCTAACATCCACAACTTTCTATGAATGCTTCCTCTTGCTAGCACAGTATGTTTACGAAAGTATTACTGCTGCATGGGAAACTTGGATCAAACCAAGAGTGACTTCAGCTTGAACTGCTTTCAAAACCAAGATAAGTTAAGTACGAAAGCAATCTTATTTCAGAATAAGTGCTCCTTTGTGGAGACTATATTTTGTCAGTTCAAGTTGCAGCATAACTTAAAAGTTCCCTGAGGAAAAAGAAATCCCAAAAAGAAATACCACTTGCATCTGTGAGTTCATCACAGAATCATAGGGGTTGGAAGGGACCTCCAGAGATCATCAAGTCCAGCCCCCCCTGCCAAAGCAGGTTCCCTACACCAGGTTGTACAAGTAGGCATCCAGGCAGGTCTTGAATATCTCCAGAGAAGGAGACTTCACAACCTCCCTGGGCAGCCTGTTCCAGTGCTCTAACGTACATCCTCCTGCAGGTTCATACATCCTCCTGGTATGTGGTAAGGCAGCCACCCAATTTGCCCCCACACAATGACCAATACTGCTATAACTGAACAAATCTGGGAAGGGTAGCCAGGTCAAAATGTGATCTGAAGAGCTACACTTTACCTGTGTTTTGTTACTTGCAATTTTACTTTGTGTTTTGCACTTCTATTCTGTTGTGCATAGCCACTACGTGCTGTTACAAGCTCCAGTAAAAATTGGAAAAAAAATTCCAGCATGGCATCATGTCCTAATGATGGAAGAAATGAGCCTGCCTGCCTTGTTTTTGGTGCTCTTTAGGATTCCTCAGCATGTAATGTGCTTGCTAGTGGGCTGTGGTTCTAACTTGCCAAGGTTCTAAGTCCCAAAGCATGAGACTGTATTTTGCTCTTTTTTTTTTTTTTTTTTTTTTAAATTCCTCCACCTTTCCACCTTCGTGATGGAGCACTCAGCTGCTGTTTGTGAGCAGCTGCTCTGTTTCCCTGCCTGCCTGGAGCGGTATCCAGACGGCTGCTCTGGGGGACAGCCAAGGTGGCCAGAGCAGTGACCGGCTTTGTTAAAAAGTAACGAGATTGGGAAAGAGAGGAGCCAGTGGGAAAATCCATGACCTGGAATAAGTTGTACAGCACACTGCCAACAAGTGCTACAGGGGCACTGAGTGAACTATGAGCCCGATTAATGATGTGTGTTCTATGTACCTAATATGATGAGACTCACTTGTTGACTTGGTGAACGTGACGTGATACTGAAAGCCTCTGGGAAAGGAAATATTGCTGACAGTGGCAAAAAGCTCACATTCATGTCTCATGGAAACTTAAATATGCGTAAGTGTAGTTTCAGCGTCTGCTCTCTGCATGACTCATGCAGAGAGAGAGGGCCAGGTGTGGCTCAGAACAGGCCTGTGGTGTGCAGCGTGACTTATTTTTTACAGACAGCTTTCTTGTGGATGGTAGAACATTATACTTGACTATGTACGTCTGTTATTTTACAAGTGCATTTTTCCGGAGATTACTGCAGTGTTTGTTTTATGCTTCTACCTTCGAGTGCTTACAGATCAGGGAGGGGTAATTCAGTGTGCTTGAAGCTATATGGTAGGTTTATGATATGTCAGGATTTCAGATTTTGCCCAACTTAATATTTCTTTTCTTTGTGTTCCAGAAAAAGGCATGGCATACAATTAAAACCATGGTTAACTTACCAGTGATAAGCCCCTTCAAGAAACGCTACTCGTGGGTGCAGCTGGCTGGGCATACAGGTGAGATGAGTATCTTCAATGTTTCTGTCTCTGGAATGTGATGTGGGATCATTTCTACTGACTGAGTCGCCAATATGTTACTTCCTTAGCTGGAAGCATTACTGTCCTTGCCTTCATGCACCCAAGCCTTGACAAGGACAGGTTTTCTGGTACCAACCCCAAACTCTTGGCATGAACATAAGCCTTTGAGAGGAAAGCAAATATGGTTACAGTTGATTTTGGTGGCCAGGTGTTTGCATAGTGAGGATTGTTATTATTCATTATATGCATGCAATGCACATAGTAGCTCAATCAGCTATTTCTAATTTTGTGTCAGTAGAAGTTAGTCGGTGTGCTCTGATATAGCATTACTTTCATTGATAAGCTTAAAACAAACAAACAACAAGAAAAAAACAAACAAACAAAAAAACACCAATAAGGAGAAGTCATCAGGTTTGCTTCTCTTACACTTCATTTAATTCTTATGCAGCCCTTGTTCCCTGTGTGCAAGTGTGGGGTTTATTAGTACACACGTGGGCAGGCACCTACGCTGCATCGTGCTTTAATGCAGTACCCAAACCAGCTCTTTGTATGTTAATGTAGTGCACTTCAAAGCTGTGCAGAGAAATTTATTTAGTCCTAGAAATGGAGTAGCTGCATTTGTGTAGTGGTGTACTGACTTGTATCACCCAGTGCCAAGATGACCCTGTCTTACTCTAGTTTTTATCACAGTGTGTCTGGCGTTGGCTTGATCTGTGTGGAGTGTTGCATTGAACGTGTGTGTAATCGTAACCCTTCTGAGTGCTTGTGTAGGATGAAGAAGAGGGCTGAGAGGTTACCAAAGATAATTAGGAGAGATACCGTTTCTGTTTGCTTTTGATAATTTTCTGTGGTTGCATTTAGTCCATCATTTTTGCAGCTGTTCTTCTATGATAAGTTTTTTCTAAACTATAACTTATGCCATCATCAGCCTAGCCCTTGTAATGAGCCAGTGCCAGTTCCAGAATTTGTCAGCAAGGAAACAGTTTGCAATGGCTGAAAGATCCCGCTGCAATACAGTGCTGGGCACAGGTTTAATGAGGCTCCTACTCTGGGGCCTCTTGTGAAGATTAAATAAAAAGTACTTGTGAATGAGACATGTACTTTTCTCAGATGTTATTGGTAGGCTGCAAATTCCACAGCTGGAGTGTAATGACTGCTTATCTTGGCCTATGCACACTCTTTCATTTGTACTGGATACCGTTCAGGCCCGTGGCTGTGAAAACAATTGTGCTGCAGGCTGTACCTGCAGATTAGCAGGGCTCCCCGGGGCAGGCACAGTACCTGGGTGTGCATGCATGTGCAGTCACAGACAGGGCAGTGCTTGGCTTTGCGATTGCTGACGGACTGTGCTGCTTTGGGATGTACACACTCAGCAGGTATACCTTATGTGAGGATTAAGGACAAAGCCAATGGTGACGCAGCTTTAAAAGAGCCCATCAGAGTACTAAGGAAGCATGGCTTGTGGTTTCTTCTTGTACATTTTAGTAAGTATAGTAATGTTTAATATACTAACAAAGAGTTTAGTATGGATAAAAAAAATGATCTGGAGCAGCTGCATTCCTTAAAGCTATAAATTCCAATGTGGGAATGTATCCAAATGGATTTTCATTGCCAACAGCTGTGTTTGCCCTGGGTGTTTTATTTTTATGAGAAGCATATTATCTTTTCTCATTTGGGGAAAATCTTTCTGGTATCATGCTGCTGAAGTAGGTGAGGCTGGAGTAGTGAGGGAAGGTGCTTTTCCCCTTCGCAGGTCAGGCTTTTCAGCATGTATTTGATTTTCTTTTTAGGGAGTTTCAAGGCAGCTGATAGTGGTAAGATTCTCAAACGCTTCTCAGAAAATGAAAAGGAATGTTTTGAGCGACTGATGAAAGACCCACTACGATCCTGCGTCCCTTGCTTCCATGGTGTGGTGGAGAGAGATGGAGAGACCTACATTCAGCTGGATGACTTGCTTACAGATTTTGAAGGGCCGTGTGTGATGGACTGTAAGATGGGGATCAGGTGAGATGTGAAAGAGAACGTGTTTTCTAACCTAAATGCATTTGTAGGAGGCAAGTGGAAGGATAATATGGTCATGCTATGTGTGTTGGAGGAGCTTGTTAACAGTTCTGGAGCCTTGGGATTCAGTCCAGACAACCTGCTGTTGGTTTGACAGTTGCCTTGGACAGCCTAGGAGTCTGTGTCCCGTTGGTGCCCAGTTGTACGTGGGTTCTGGAAACTGGGTGATCTGTAGACTAAATGTGACCCCCATCAAGATGTTTTCAGCGGTGACTTGGGACAAAGTTTCTCTGCAATGGCCTGAAAAAACATGGAGAGAAAGTTACACAATTCACTCCCTGCCAGTTCATTTAATCTTTGCCTATGCAGTGATTCAGGAAAACCCTATGAAGTGTAAAATTCCCATCTCCAAGTGTGAATGACTGAATACCAATACAAAAGCCCATTTCTAAAGCTTGAACGAGTCTTTGGTGATATTGATCTTCTCTGGGAGAAGTGTTGACTGTCTGCCCAGGACTGACTTTTCCCCACTCTGACATCTGTGTGATATTATCACCTTGTTCTTCAGCTTCTCACTTTCTTTTCTTTTTCCATTTTCCTTGTCTTGTGTATGATTTAGGAGAAAACCTCAAATAAGTTATCTAAGCATAACAAATAGATACAGAGTCTGTTGAAGGCCTCAAGTAACATTACAGAAAGGTAGAAACTATTACAGTAATCTTTTGGGTGCCAACTCAGATGCTTGGTTACTGTAATGAATGAAATATGCAATTTATGGGAGTGAGACAGGTCTTTTCATATAGACGGAGGATCTTAAGTGAACTATCTGCTAAATCAGAGTAGAAATTTGTTGCTCTGCTACGCCCAGAAGAAAGAGAAGATGGATTGGCAGCAGTACATGTTGCGTTCACAGTAGTTGACACTCAGGTAATGAGTGACAGCATCTCTTAAACAACAGTCCAGCTTGTTTTGCAATGTGATTAAGAATTAAGAATGTACACTTCAGGCACCTTACAAAGTTCAAGCTTGTGAAGAGGGACAAGTTTTAGGATCCAGTGAAATGCAGAGACAATGGATAGTGTCTTTTTAGTGGCTACCAAGATTGAGTGATACCAAGAGCAAAGTGTAGAAGCATGTCTTCCCTTTCTTAGTTACTTCGTCTGGTTTGGAGCTACAGTTCCTCGGATAACATGCTCTAGTTCATTACTATTTGAAGATTTATGTCTTTTACTCTCTAAAACATTATGTAAAACCTTACCTGCTTTTTGAGGCCTGAAAAAATGCATAACTGAAGTTTTTCTCAAGGAGAGGGTAGCCATTAAGACTTCAGCAGGCCCCTTTGCTTTTGATTTCATTGCAGGTGATCTCTCTTAACTGTCCTCTGAAAATACAGTTGTATGTCATGGCAGAATAGGAATAGCTTTCTTGCATCCTTGTAAGCAGGACGTAAGAATAACATGTAATTGTAAGGTAAAGGTATGGTTAAAGCAAGAAGTGAATGAGGCATATCTTGATTCCTGCTTGATAGTTTCTCTAAGTAAGCATGTGTGGTCATTAGTTTGTGCTTTGCTTTTGCCATGTGCAAAACTGAGGTAATGATAATACTTTCCTGGCCAACTAAAATTGTAAAAATAAAGTTGAGAAGTCCTTGCAGCTTTGTTGGAATGTGATGTCTTTGCAGGACATACCTGGAAGAAGAGCTGACTAAAGCCCGTGAGAAACCAAAGCTGCGTAAGGACATGTACAAGAAAATGATTGAAGTGGATCCTCTTGCTCCCACAGCTGAAGAGAATGCTCAGCATGCTGTCACCAAGCCCCGATACATGCAGTGGAGGGAAACAATCAGCTCTAGTGCCAACCTGGGCTTTAGGATTGAAGGGATTAAGGTAATAGTTCTGCTTCTGCCTGTTCAATTTAGACTGAACTTTGATTTGTTAATCAATCAAAATGCTAGCACGCATCAGTTTTTCTAATAGATTATGTGAAAATGCATTAATTATTTCCATGAAGTTCAATGTATTATTGCTTTAAAGCAATTATAACAGTTGGGTCAAATAAGTTAAGCACCAAATGCATATCAGGCATGCTTGGTTCAACCACGGAGATACTGCAGGAAGAAACCAAGCAGGTACAGAGCATAGATAAAATGAAAATGTAAGGAGGAATGAAGAACTGAAGAAATAGCTGCCTCTCTCCCCCCCCACTTTCATTCATTCATTCATTTATACCCAATTATATTCTATTTAAATCACAGAAAAGAGTTTTTGTTCCAGTTATGCTTATTTGCAAGGCGAGTTAAAAGCATTAGAAGACTTTCAAGATCATCCAGTCCAACCGTCCACCTATTGCCAATATTTCCCAGTAAACCGTGTCCCTCAGTACAACATCTAAATGTTCCTTGAACACCTCCAGGGTCGGTGACTCCACCACCTCCCTGGGCAGCCCATTCCAGTGCCTGGCCACTCTTTCAGAGAAGTAGTATTTCCTAACATCCAACCTGAATCTCCCCTGGTGCAACTTGAGGCTGTTCCCTCTAATCCTAATCACTAATTACATGGGAGAAGATGCTGGCCCTCATTTAGCTATATATTCTTAGGATAGAGGAAACATCTTTTACTTCAAGGAACATTACAGTATCCAGTATAGATGAAGCTGGAATAAAGCCCAAAAATACAATGATAAGATCTGTCAATCAGCAGAATCCTTTTGCTGTTCTTGATGAATGAGTTTGTGTCCCGATATCATTTCTAGGATAGTACTTTACAGCCTCTGAAGAATCTTTGCAATTTTCTTTTCTACCCATTAATCGCTTGTATTTCTTGTGCCTCATGGCAAAATCAAATACCTATCCAGAAACCCTTAGGACCTACACTTAGAGTATCACCAACCTCACTAAGTAACTCAAATGCTAAGGCTCCAGGGTGACCTGATAGCGACCTTCCGGTACCTAAAGGGGGCCTACAGGAAAGTTGGGGAAAGACTTTTTATAAGGGCATGCAGTGACAGAATGAGGGGTAATGGCTTTAAACTGGAAGAGTGTAGATTTAGGCTAGATATTAGGAAGAAATTCTTTACTGTGAGGATGATGTTGCCCAGTGAGGTTGTGGATGCCCCCTCCCTGGATGCACTGAAGGCCAGACTGGATGGGGCTTTGAGCAACCTGGTGTAGAGGGAGGTGTCCATACCTACAGGAGGGGTTGGAACTACATGTTCTTAAAGGTTCCTTTTAACCCAAACCACTCTATGATTCTAACACTGGCTCTGTCACAGATTAAATTAGTTTAAATTAATTTGCTTGGGTTTTGATACTTGTGTACCTGCAGCAGCATAGTGCTGGTGAGGGCAGCCCAAACACCCTGCATGAGTACTTGCTAGCTGAAGCCTGTGATAAGGGGTCTGAAGAGGTTAGCAGGCTTAGTTACCCTCTGTTTTCAGGATGTTCATCAGAGCATAGTTGTGCCTTTTGTCAGCGTATACGTTTAACTTAAGTATGTTTTGATGCTTTAAATTATTATTTGGATTTTGCATCTGCTTTGTAGTTCTAGCACATAGGAAAAAGAAAGGAATCGAAGAAGGTGACTCGCATGAACAGAGGCTCTTTAACCATTCCAATCTTCTCCACTTCTACATGTTGTCTTCTCCCTTCCTTGTTCACAGATCCTACTGCTCTGCTACAGGAACTAGTCCTTCCAGCTCACGCTGTGCTTGGCCCCCTGTATGCTGTGCCACCCACTCCTAGCTGGTAGACACAGGCATTCTCATGCAGGAACTGTCTGCTGGTAGATGGTCTGGCTCTAATCCTGCCAGCATACTTTCTGTCTTACCCTTCAGCCATATAATGATGTTATGCAAGTTACCTGTTTCATTCCTATGCCACTTTAAGTCCTTGAATGCCGTCTGTAATGGAATCAGAAACCCAGATGATCTCAAGACTTCTTGTGTATGTTCTTGGGAATATCTGTGGTCAGTGTAGAAGACTTATGGATTTCTGTTGAATCCTGAAGAGTGACTGAGCTAGGGGAGCTCCAGTAAAACCTCCTGGCTTGTTCTTTGCGAATTGGCTGGTTGTCAGAGGTGGGAAGGAGCAGTATGGCACACAAACTGCATATTTCCCTCTGCTGAGACAGTGCTGTAACTGTGCAAAAAAGTACACAAAAAAATCCTTTTTTAAAACACAAGAAATGCTGTGGAGTACTCCACTGTGCTTCCTATTCTTCTGTCTTTCTGTGCTGTTATGGGAGATGTAGGCAGGCATTATTCTTCTGTTTTTCTATGTGGAAAAGGGGTGGCAGTTTTTCAAGCAATACAGCTAGTCAGTATTCCCCCAGACTGCTTCACCGTAGCTGAACTGTAAGTCCCATTTTGTATATTTGCGGGGGAGCAATGCCATGCTTCACAAGTCCCCATTTTGAGGGGAAAGCCTATGAGGATCGGTGATGTCAGCAGGTTGTTGATGGGGGAAAAAGAGTTGTTTTTTTTTCCCAAGTACCCTGATAACTCCAGGAATTAGGTCAGCAGATATGTTGGGCTTGGTCATTCAAAAATATTCCTGCTTTGTGGCTGTTGGAGTAAGGAACAGAAATAAAGAAAGTGAATTCATGGAAGCTCTTTTGTGAAGGGGCTCAATATAAATGAGATTCAATCCACCTCCCAAAGGGACTGTCTGAAGTCTTGGCATTGCAAACGTCAACTCTTCAACACTAAGCTAATAGTTCTGCAGAGTTATGCATGGGGCTGAGAATCAGGGCTTCTCATTTCCCGTTCTGTTAGTGAATCTTTCTGCGATTTCAGAAGTTACTTTCCTGTGGTACCATTCTGTTAGCTGTCCTTTAGGATAGCCATTTTCCCAGGAGGACAGCAGATTTGATTCAGTAGTCTCTGTTAAATCCATTTTAGGTCACAGCCTTAACCCAGAGCCCTTTAAGGGAACTCTGCAGAGTAATCTGAACAAGACCGTGCAGGTTAAGGTAGGCAGCAATATTTTATTGAGCAGTCAGGCCTGCTCTCCTGCTACCTATGTCACTGTCCCATCTAGTGAGAAGTGCTGCAAGTGGTCCACAGGCTGCACCGTGCAACAGACTGCTGTGCTGTGCAGGAACTGACAAAAGCATGACCTCGGGGAGCAAGTAGGGCAAGCGCCTTCAGGTACACTCAGAGCTGTTGCAAGGACCTGCTATAGAATATGAGGAATGGTGCAGTTCAAAGCCTGGACTGTTGTTTTCAGCAAAAAAAGACAGGTAGCAGTTATGTTTCCTGTCAACTGCTGCAAAGGAATAAAATCATAAGTGTATTTCTAAATAAGAAAGATACAAGCCACTAGCATGTCCAGATTTAAATAAAAGAAAAGAAGAAAGAGAAAACAGCAGCTCTTACAGACTTTGTTGTGGGATTTAGGGCACGGGGAGAGATTATTTTAAAAATAACCTTACTCCAGAGAAGAGGTAGAACGCATCAGACTGAACTCCAGATTTCTATCTGCCATTGAGTTTTATCGTATCTCAGATCAGATGGCTTCTCGCTGTCACTGCCTACCTGCTGCTGCTTTTGCATAACTTACACATCTCAGCAGGCTGACGTGCCACGCTGCTATCTGGCCCGCGGCCTTGGAATAAAATTGTGTTTATTCTCCTGAAACGTCTGGTTGGTGGGAGGTTCTTCAGCACGGCTTTGCCGTTCAGTTACTTCATTGCGTGACAGATCTGAAAATTTAGTACTATTGGATTTTTTTATGGATGTTCTAAGGGCTCTGGTTCTGCTGCGAAATAAAAAGCATTGCACCTTCTGAGACCAGAGCAGAATTTAACTAGTTTTGGTGCAGTGACAATGTGTTGATGGGAATGTATTTTGATGACAAATTGATTACAATTTCATCCCGTAAAGGGATAATGGAGATGTGGGATTTCACGGATTGTTACAATGGAGAGAAATGTAGTTTGATATCTTGCAGGCTTTTTGTAGAAACAGTTGATCAGCTGCAAAAGTGGCTGTATTTTACATGCCTGTCCTAAAAGCTTTTACTCGTGTCTTTTCACATGAGGGATGTTCTTGGAGAGGTGCATACTCATGCAGCCTGTGTTGACAGATATCTCAGATCCATGCACTGCTCTTAGTTACTTGTAGCCTCACAGGCACAAACTGGCTGTTAGCAACGCACAAAAAGTTTTTATCATTTTCAGGAGCAGGGTGCTTCTGTATTCAGTTGTATTGTTAGCATAAAAGTACTGTGAGTTTCTCCTGGCTGCTACAAGTGTGCTCACACTGTCTTTTGCCAGAATTTACACACCCACTTTGTCACTGCTGGCATTTGGATCACTGCAAATCTTGAGTAGTTCCTGTCTGGAACTCGCTTTCTGTTTGGTGGCTTCTAGGTTATGTTAACATAAAGGTATTTTGGGAATGGAGAGTCTAGTCTTTACTACGATTCTTTTGTTTCCTTGTTTAAAAAGAAAGCCAACAAAAAACTAAACAGGAAGAAAAAGAAGAAAAACTGGTACAATTGGGTTTGAAACCATCCCCTTCTGCCCCTCCCCCTGTCAGGGTTTGGCTATGTAAGGCTTGTTAAGAAGACAACTAAAGAGGTCACTGTGGTTTGCCCCATTGAACCTTTGCACTGCTACTACTGAGATGTGAGGAAAACCTTTCTGCAGGCTGGTAATACCATGAGGTTTGGGGTTGTTTGTTTGGTTTTGTTTTTTAACTACACTCAACAGGATATGAAGTATCATTTCAAGTTATCCTATCAGCTTTTGTTTATTTTCCACCTCTTGCTTGAAAAGAGGTTTATCTCCTCTCTTCCTGTTTGACTACTTACTTTCATCTGGTTAGCAAGAGCTGAGCTGCTGATGGTTCAAGGGCATTGGCTGATGAGAGGGGCTACATGTGGTATAAATTGTGTTTTTGTGCAGAAAGCAGATGGAACATGCAACACAAACTTCAAAACTACGAAGACACAGGAGCAAGTTCTCCAAGTTTTTGTGGAATTCATTGAGGGCAACACAACTATTCTGGTGAGTCTGAACTCTTCATGTTCACTGATTTTTTGACCCATTCAACTTTCTTGAGGGCCATACTTCCTCTAGTACGAGAAAGGTGGATTAAACTGCCAAGAAAGAACAGGATTGGACTTCCTGTCCCACTGAGCAGATGGGCTGGACATGAAGACAGAGGGCAGTGAGTAGTGGTTGACTGAGACCTGTTTTGGCAGCTCTTGCCGTGAGTTCCTCAGGTTTCTCATGCTAGCCAAAAATCAAACTTGTGACTTGCCACCAGTCTCCACCATAAGTGTAAGACATATCAGAAAGATGATGATTTATGAGCAAGGATTGTGTTGGCAGAAAACTTGTGATTAGGGAATTTGTTCTAGAGAGAAGAAAAACAGAGCATGTGAATGGGAAGTGAGATTGGTGGCTGGCTCTTCTTATGTGTGAGACTTGCCTCAGAGAGCAATTCCTGTACGCTACTTCATGGTTTTTCAGAGGAAGCACAGCAGGCATGTGGTAGATGTCATAACGTGTCTCTCTTGTCTTCAGAACTTCAAAGGCTGCCATAGCATTTTGTTGCAGTGTAGAAGCTATTATGAGGAAAGATTAACCACCCAGGAGCAGTGTGCTTGGTAATACAGGACAGCATTAAAAATGCATACTAGAGTTTTATGTGTTGATTTTCCTCCCCTTATAATTTTCTTCCCCTTGTATGTTTAGAGCTTCCTTGTCCCTCTAACACCAGCTCATTCTCTTTCCGCTGTGGTGAACTGAAAGATTCTTCATTGCTTGAAACTTCTATTTTCTTTGGAAAAAATATAAAAAAGAGGGAAAAATAAAAGAAGCATTTAGTATTTGGCTGCAGAGCAGACTGTATTATTGCATCCAAAGCAAGACAGATAAGTATGCTTGGTGTAATGCATGCAGCAGAGGAACTCTATTTTTTTGCAGTAGAAGCCTGTTGAAGTGTATTTTCAGATCGACTTTCAAATGACGGCTCTGTTTTGAAAGACTTCTAATCTAAAATTAACTCTTTGTTATATTGGTTCTTGTAAGCAGAATATCTTCATTCATTCTTTGCCTGTTTCTGTTTTCTTTTTTCTGTTGTCACCCTCCAGAAAAAATACCTCAAGCGTCTGCAGGAAATTCATATCATTCTTGAATCCTCAGACTTCTTCAAGCGACATGAGGTGAGCAGTGAGTATAATGCTTTGTGAAGGTGTAGTGCTGCTGCTTTTGGTCATTCACATGTACTTCGGAATTGCCTACTCTATTATTAGAAAGGAGTTTGTGGTAGAAGAAAACAGTACAGGTAACACAAAGCCTTTGTCACAAGGATACAGGAATAATAGATCTTTAAGAATAATGGATCCTCTCATCTTTATAACATACCAACACATTGAGCTCTGGGCCACTGTCAAGAATAGTTTAGTAGTATCAGTTTCCTGTCATTTTCTCTAATCTCAGTTTGTTACAGTGGAACCTTTAAAGGGAAGTGGTAATGTGGAAGCTTGCATCTGGTACGATAGAATCCACTTGTGTTTAGACGATCAAGTCTTTATCAAAATACTGGATTTGTGTTGAATCTGTATAATTCTGCTATATACATTCTCCTTCTATGCTTTTCTGTAGAGAGGGCATCATTGGCATTTTAAGTTCTGCTTATTACAGCTCAAGATTTTGAGGTCAGACATTTTATTTTACCTTGTTAATTTCCACTTGTCACTGGAGGTGATTTTGTTAATCATAGGTTATAGTCTTTATTTGAAAATAGTTACTGGCATTTGCGGCATTGCTTGAATTGAGACCAGCTGCCAAGTGGGCTGGTGAACTACTTTTCTTCCCTCTGTCTGATGGGTCCCTTTTCTCAGCTAGCTGCCCATTTATATGTTACTAATTGATTTAGTTATATAAAGAATGCATACAAGTTGTAAATATGCAAGCAGAGTGGCCATAAAGACTGTTGGGTCTCAGGTGAGAAGGCTGTCGTCTCAGTGGGAGGCGTAAGTGATAAGAGGAGACTTAAAGATACGCTTTTAACATCATCTCAATCCGCATTCCAGGTCGTTGGTAGTTCACTACTTTTTGTACATGATGGCAGTGGGAATGCCAATGTGTGGCTGATTGATTTTGGGAAGACCACCCTTCTCCCTGATGGGCAGACGCTGGATCATAGGATCCCCTGGCAAGAAGGCAACAGGGAAGATGGCTACTTGTTGGGACTGGACAATTTGATTCGCATCTTGGAAAGCATCACGGAAAGATGAGTTGTAAGTGGCACAAAACTTACAGGGCTGCTTTGTAACTAACTTTCTTCTCTACTGAGATCACTCAGAAGGAAACTGCTGTAACTCGCTCCCTTCAGACTCCTGAGGTCATCACAGTGCAGAGGGAACTACATCCAGAACCCAGCAGCTAGTTATCAAAATGACTTTGCGTCAGCCCTCTGTGAACCTAAATAACTAACTCCGGATTGGTCTGCATTGCACCAGCCTAACATAAGACTGGTCCTCAGAGAATCAAGATCTCCATACTCAGGAATCACACCAGCATGAGTCAAGAGGTCTGTATGGTAAAGCAGAATGATTCTGATTTCTGGTAAACTGATGGGACTTCCAGATCACCTCTCAGTGATCCAGAGCAAGTGCTTGGGAATTCAGGGGAGGAATAATAATTTTTCAGGGAACTGGATAGTTTTGAAATGAGCAGGAGTGTTTCTTTTCTTTCACCCTAATTCCAAGTCTTCTTGCTCCTGTGTAAACTATAGGTTGGACTAACAACAGCTGCTGCCTTATGTTATGGGTGTACTCAAGGTGGAAATCGATGATAATCAGGAGAATCCTGGAGTAAAGTGAGACAGCAGTTGTAGTGGCTGTATATGGTAACTGTTGTTGATTAGTCCTCCTCATCCCCACCTTAGCCTCAATTCACTTCTGTCCAAGAGCAGCCTTTGCTTTTTTATGTAGCCTCTCAGGAGATAACAGATAGTCCAGGGAGAGAGTAGCAGCTTGTTGTCTCCAGAAATATTTGACTTTTCAAACTGGGTGGGCTGTTGGAAAAGCGCCTAGCTTGGCAGGTTTGGCCTCTTGCAGCTGAACTACAGCTGTGAAAATCAGTGATTGCACTCTAGCACTCAGACTGGGGAACTAAGGGGGTTTTTCAAGGCTTGCTCATTTTTAACATAAAACCACTGTACACATGCAAATACATGCACACACTAGTAGCCAGTAACCAATGTGATCTTTTAAGATTATAGTTTGACTGTCTTCTGATGCACATGAAAGAGGTGATTTCTTGACCATGCTCCTATTCCCAAGTACAATGCTGCCACTGAAGTGTGTAGACTTAAATAAGTACTTTTATATAAAAGTGTATAGTGCAGCAATCAGGAAACTAAAGTTCCTGCATCCACAGCATTACACTAATTATAATTCCTAGACATTCCCCCTCCAGTATATCAGCTGTTAACTCAGGGCAGTTTGGGGGAAGGAATATCAATATATCACATCCCTTAATCCCTGTCTGGAATCACAGGACCACTTTTGGTTTTGGTTTACTCTTTTCTGCTGTGGCACAGCCACAGAAAATTCACAGTGATTCACAGTGTTTAGATTAAAATCAAGAAAGACTGAAGTGATACTTCTTATAATGGCTTCATACATCACCTCTGTTGGTTGCCTCTTGTCACTTTAGCAGTTCTATAAATATAACAGGATATAAAGACCATCAGTATTCACCTGTTCACTTACGTTCCAGGCTTTAATATAAATATATGTTGATGCAGTTGCCAAAATGAGGACATGACTTAGATTAGTGTTTGATTAATTCACTTTTAACATCTTGAGCTGGTAATGCACATTGATCAGAAATTGCTGTCTCTTGTGAGTGTCCTGTGCACAGAAGAGATTTCAAGAACTTCAGGATAGATGAAGGTAACTCGGTGCTTTGGGGAGCAGCTTTTTCAAGAATAACTAACTGTGACCATGAGCAAAAGTCCTGTAGAGAGTAGCTCTGGAATGAAATGCATCTGTAACGTTTATAGTTTGAATCATAGGGAAATCAAAGAGTTACTTCTGATAACAGACTCTTGTACTATGAGATCAGATTTGAGAACTTATTCATCACCTCTAAACAGCAGTATTAAAAATGCAGTTGTGCCCTAAAGATTAGAGGACATTGAATGGGTATCCTGTGGGAAAAAGTGAGGTGTGGAGACATTTTGTTGTCAAACAGAGGTTGTTTGAAACTGATAATTATTTTTGCAGTTCACTGCAAATTCAGACTTCTTCTGTGGCCTTCTACAGTCCTTCTCAATTTATTTTTGTGATAGTATGCTAATGAATTTTCCATTGGTTTTTTTTTTTTTTTTTTTTCCCCAGAGGTTTTATTAGCTGTTTCAAAGAGTTTAAGCTTTTTTTTTTTTTAAAGTTGTGGTGAGCTTCCGGTATTGAACTTGCATGTTGTAATTTCTGATGCCTTCTAACTTTGGAATTGCTATGAGATGACAAATTAATCTGTGGTGATTTTTATACTATTTTTTAATTAAGAAAAAGTCCTCCTCTTTTTCTGCAGCCAACAGGTAAACTATCAGCTAGCAATGCTTAAGGAGAAAAAAGGAGTAAATAAATCTCACAGGACTACCTTTAATAACAAGGCATTTTCTCTAAGACTGCAGTTTCAGGGATTTAGGGAAAAAACAACCAAAAACAGACAGAACTGGAAAAGGTTAAATAAAGTATAATGAGACAGGGTGATACAATTAATTAGTGTTTTGCCTAATTAACTTTCATAATGCTTTTTTCTGTTAACATATGTGAACCTTTTGCATCAGTGTGTTATTTTCTGGATGGGGGTGGATTTAGGAGGTAAAAGTTAGCTGATACTCCAGCATCACTTGAGAATGTGTCATGAACTTTTGGAATTCATGTCTTGTTTTAAAGAAGTAGAAGCAATGTGGTAGCAGTACTTCAGAAACCTGATTGCTGCTAGCACCTCCGAGGGTGGTTTGTAGACCCTCATCTTGGAGATAACAAGGGAACCTCTTCAGGGCTGTGCAGTAGGTGAGAAGATGGGGGTGGGAGAGGGGAGAAGGAAAACCTCAGCTATAGCAGTCCTTGTTTCCTTATTCTGGAAATTCATTCTAGATGCTAAATAGTTCTAGTAAGTTTGTTTTAAAATTACTCTTTGGCTTATCAAAGAGCTAGAAAGGAAGAAACCACAATCTAATATTATGCTGCTGTTACAGGAAAGGTGCAAAGGAGGGAGCTTTTCATTAGCAAATGGCAAGTATAGGACTGCAAATGTGAGGACTGGAGCTCTCAGGGACTGGAGGCTGTGAGATCATGAGCAAATGATCACAGGGTAAGTTAGATAACCTTGATTCACATCAGAAGTCCCTGAGTGGCTCTTTGTGTACATTCACGTGCTACCGTGAGGAAGCAGATACCTTTCTTTTGCTATGGAGTCAGTTGCCTTGAACAAGCTTACATTTGTATGAGATCAACATCACAGGTATTTGCCATATAAGAGCTGATGCAGGATAACCAAGGCACTTGCTCACGTACAAGTCCGGAACACAGTTCTTTAAATGCTTCTGCTGGGGTAGTCCCTCACTTTGGAGACAATGAAATCACATGTGTTTCCACAACATGGGAAGATAGCTTGTCCAGGCATGGAGCAGCTAACATCTGAGTTAGGCACCAAGGTCATTAAGCTCACTAGATAGATGCAGCAGAGTTCAGTGTGAATCTAGCAATAGGACTTCTCTTCCCCAGCTTTGACAGTGACTTGTGTTTTGGCCTTGGGCAGCTATCCTCGGCCTCAGTTTTGTTCCTGTTTTACAGATGGTAATAGTACTAGTACTATTAATACTATTAATAGTACTAGTAATAGTAGTAATACTACTCATACCTCACAGAATGGTATGAGGCTGTACTTCATTTTTGCCTGCAAGATGCCTTGAGGTTCTTTGGTGGAAGGTACAACATAAAAAGAAGTACATAAAGAAGCATATTGGATGAGTTTAAAAATGATAGGCATTAAGGTTCCCCATGGATATACATTTGGATTAAGTTTAACCAAAGTGATGCTAATTAAAATGCCTCTGTATTTTGCACGTGGAATATTCACTTAACATCTGATTACGATTCAGTTCTGATGATAGGGAAAGATTTCAATGGGATTTGGACTAAACTCGTGAGTATCTCACAGGGCTCTTGCTTTTTTTTTTTGTATTGGTGTCATTATTTTTTGTTATTCTTACAGTACTGAGATCAAATGACCTGTATTGTCAACAGTGCTTCTGTTCTGAACACTACAATGCAATGCTGACTGTGGTCACTTTTGACTGTATTGGCTGAGTGTTTGTTACTCTTAAGTGTGTATGCTAATAAATACATGAGACTGAAGGAAAAAAGGGCATCCGTGGTGATTTGGTCACAGAAGAATAATATTTTCTTAAAGAGCTTCCCAATGCTAGAGACAAAACCTTATTATTTTAGTGTTTCTTGCAGTTTTAGGCTTAGAACCTACTATTTCCTGAAATAAAACTGGTTCTGAGACATCTGGAAGCTGACATTGCAGCTTTGTTCCCAACACCATGCGAAGTTTGAAGGCTTTCTTAGAAGTAAGTTATCTCTCGAAAATCCAATTCTTACAGCATATTAAAAAATAATGCGTTAAGATGTACTTTGCACACAGAGCAGTTAACTGTTTCCACAAGGCTGTCTTTTGTGGTAGTAGGGGATAAACAGTGCTCTGTTCCTGGAGTCAGTCCTCCACAACTGGCAACCTTTCTCAAGCAAGATGGTGTCCTCTTACCTGTGTGCAAACTGTATTTAACACAGAGGAAAACAAGTAGTCAGCATTAGCATCTCTTTATTTTGTGTTGCAAATATAAAGTATACATTTGTCCAACTTGAAATTGCATAGAAGCAGGCTTGTCATCTACTTATGCACAGTAGTCACCCAAAAAGGTAAGTTGACAAGAAGTGCTGCCGTGTTCAGAGGTAACAACAAATCAGAACTGGTTCAATTAAACAAAAGTGTTGTGTGATGAGACTAGCAGATGTTAGTGATGTCATGCCTAAGGTCTCTGCATCAGATTGCTCCAGCTAGGAGCAGGAAGAGCAATGCCACAGCTGCAGGAGAAAACTCATCTGGCATAGCACTGCTGCTCAGCAGTTTGAAGAGTGATCCCTGGCTCACGCTGCTGCAGAGATGCACATACTTTGGGGAAAACCATATTCCCAGCAGTAGAGTTCTGTTTCAGGTAAGGTAGTAGGAGGGTATTGGAGGTGGAATAAGTTATACGTGCAAAAGCCCATATCTATGTAATTATATCTGTGAAACTGTCTCAGTGTACACCAGCCCACTGGCAAGTAAGTGGAGAACTTACCTGGGGAAAAGGGTTGATGTAAGTGGAAACCTTAAATCTGTGCACAGTTAAAAATTCTGTCTGTTTAAAGGGAAAATGAAGATGCAAAACTCTTGAAGTAGAGGAGAGAAAAGATAACAAGAATATCAACGAATGTGAAAAGAAAAAAAAGACAAATTGAAATTCGCATTATTTCATCTTTTGTTATTACAGTCCTCTTAAAATGTAGGTGTGAGGCTGCATGAAGGAACATAAAGTACTAATGCAGAATCCAGAAGAAAAAAAAAACATCTCTATATACACACATCTAAAACTGAGGTGGTAGATAGATAGTCTTTGTTAAAATGTAGACACTCAATGGGAAGAACAATTTATAGATACCTATACAGGGCAGATTCTTCACTGGGGAGCTGTTGGAAGACTTTCCATGTGGATTACATGACTAAATAATGCTAGTCTCCAGCTCAAGTCATTCCTCTCCATAACAAAATCATTTTTTTGGGCTTTAGTTGCCCAAGTAATCTAATTTTGACAGTATGGGTTAAACTCATTCATTTTGCACTATGCGCATCTCCTTAAAAGACTATTTCAAGTAAATGGTATTTTGAAATGGTAAAATTTGGACACTGTGAAATCTGTCGTTGTATTAACAGTCTAAGAATTGTAGGAATTAGTGCTTGGTTGTAGTATACATTATTTAGAGTTATTTTTCTTTTTAGATAACCTGTTTTGGACAGCATATTGCATCACAGTAGGAGCAGTATTAGCATTATTTCCTCCTGTATTGTCATTTAAAAAAATCTTTACTATGAGGTTTTTGAAAAGCATCTAAGAGATCAGATACACGCAGAAAAGCTATTACAGATCAGAGAATGGTGGTGTCTGTGTTGACAGAAGTTTGCTTACCTTTATTTCTACTTGAGGGAGGTAAGAACACACATAAAAAGCACGTTGCTAATGCAGATGCTTAAAGTTCTCAGACAATTCTTTTAGTGCCTATTTGGTCTGCACAGATCCACGTTCTGTCTTGTTAGGAGACATCTGACTCAGTACACCCTGAGCTACATGCTGTTGTAAACTAGCAATGTTCATGTAAGAGATAATCACTGCATGCTTATTCTACTCTTACAAGTGCCCTTCAACACCCTGCTATTGGTCACTCATAGAGATAAGATATTGGGCTGGATGGAGGTTTACTGTAGTTCAGTGGAGCTTTTTCCCTGTTCTTTCTGTATATATAAATATGACTTAACTATTCGTTGAAAACATCTGTGTTGTCCAAAGTGCTAGACTGATGAACTTGCTTACATTTTATGAATAAATTAAGAGAGAGCTGCATGCAAGACCACCTGTAGCACTGGTAAGTAGTGGAAACTATAGTACCAACTTTACTCTGCTCTCACTTTACTTTTCTCACTTTATTTTTCAATGTCTTATGTAGTTTTATCAATATTTGCTTCTCTAAATTCATGAATGAAGTTGAAGCACATGCTGCGTATGTGAAAAACAACGGTAGCTCAAAGTGAGCTCAGCAGGGATCCCCCGCCTGCTTCTCACTGGAATGCTAGCATTATTGTATATAGATGAGCTGCTGTTAATCCAGCTAGCCAAGATTAGGTCTGTTTATTCTTGACAAGCAGGTTGTAGAGGTGGGCTGCCTGCGACTTAACCAGAAATGTTAGCATCTGCAAGGAGAAGGACGAGTACCATAATTTCCTGCTAACTCTACCTCATCTTACCTGGCTGTAGCAGTTCCTGGACACAAGGTAGGACAGACAATGGGCTAAAAGCACTTGTAACCTCACAACATGGATTTGGAATTTTTTTCATGCTATACAGCTCACTGCTAAAAGGATCATCATCATCATCAGTAAGATCTGGAAACCAGAATATATAAAACTACTCATTCTGAAGCTTAAGGTCTAAGACTACAGGAAGCTGGGAACAAGTACAAAGCCAGATAAGCAAAGCATTAAACCTGAACTGAAGAAGCACTTCACTGACAAAGGATGGATTCAGACTCTCCACTCTGTGCTATTCAGTACGACATATCAGCAGTATCCAGCCCTCAGTGACAGAGGAAATGAAGTTTGTCTTCAAAGCAATCTCTATCCTGCTAACCCACATCTTTAGACTGTAAGCATACAGCTAATCCCTATATGTGTAGTTTGTACTGGGGCACCTCTTTTGGAAGAGAACAAGATGGAATCTATAGCCAACATCATGGCATACAACTTGATTACATGTAAAGGCAGCATGTAGTTTGCCACTGCAAGTTGGTTATGCACAGTACAAGAGTGGGACAGGGACAAAATGCTTCTGAGACTGCTCAGGTTTAAACCAAGTTACTTACTTTTCCAGGCTCCAGGCTTTAACCAGTAAACATCTGTTTAGACCCTAAATAACAGAAAATAGCCTAGAAATAATCTTTCAAAAAACCAACTACATTAACCAGCTTGTATGCTTGAAAGGTTAAAGAGAATGACAATCTGTATGTGAAGCCAAGTCACAGTTATAGCTTTCTTAAGTGGCCTGAGCTATTTTGCCTTGCTGTAAAAGGGGCATTGTAAGGTGATGTCTGTATTAAGCAGGTTGTCTACACTCTGCTCCCTTGCATTACTCTGTTTCTACTTCAAAGGAGTATATATAAAAATTGCAACCAGCTGCAGCCTACCAAATTCTACCATTACCTTAGAACATCAGTAATGCTTATCAACATAGCACAGGAAATTACTGCCATGTATCAAAATACTTACAAAAACGAAGTCCATCCCAAATAAAGTCCATTAAAAGATGAAGACAGTCCATTTCCCATCACCCCTGTCAGCTCACTCTTTCTTGGAAAGCCACCTGCCCTTCCACACCAGGAGCTGTGAAGAACACAACACCATGAGGCAAGCAGCACATTTTCCTTGTTATTCAAAGAGATACCATCAGTTTCACCATCTATTTTTTTTTTCAATCGTAAATTTGTTTTCCTCTTCATTGCTTGTTTTCAAAATGCATGCTCAGAGGATCCTGGATTTTTTTTCATACTTCTTGCTGCTTCCAATTTAAGCAGTTACTTCATGTTTTTCAAAGGGTCTGCTATTAAACAGATGAAAATGTGGCTGCTATTCATCTACTTTCCTGTCACTATGTGAGCATCATTAGGCACGTCTTCAGGACCGTAAAAAGCTCAAGGAAATCCAGCAGGTCTTCACAAGTTGTTCACTGCTGGCACAGCATGCATTTTTGGTTTCTTAGGTCAGAAAGAAGAGCAGCCTATGTTGGTCATTATTTCCATCCAAGCACTATGGTTGGATGATAAGTCTATTTCTTTTCACCTGAGCTGATTGAAAAAGAGGTCTTTTGTTAGGTACTGTATGCTGACTCAGAGCAGCAATGCTGTTGTTCTCTACAACTGAGTTGGTCCAATGGAACACATTCGGTGGACAGAAGTAGAAATGCAACTGTCTGTAATGATCTGGGGATCTGGCAGGTAGAAGGAGGAAGAAGATCATTGCTGATGTCGAAACATCACCCCTCATGTTGAAACATCACCCCTCTAAAGGAACTTACATGGAGGAAATACGTGAAATAGGAAGCAGTTCAAGTTTGCCCTTCCAGAAACACATTCTCTGATCTTTGGAGGAATCTTTTCTGTTATACTGGTGTAACACTCAGATCATCTGACAAAGACAGACCGGAGTCCCTCTCTCTTGCAGCTTTATCTGTTTTATAAAAAGGTTTCTCATCTGTATGCAGACTGGAGCTCCTTAGCACAGCTGCTCTGACCCCTGTCAAAACTGATGGTGGGTGATCAGTGCCATAGCACAGATCATCATATGCATAATTTACATTACCACAGGGGAAAGTCTGGAGTTTCACCAGTTCAATCCCACCAATATCTAAGTGAGGGCAGTTGCTTTGACTTGGAGATGCTGGAGATGTCCGAGAACTAGGAGAAGAACTGCAATTTCCATCAAAGCCTGAATCTTCTCGCTCTGGAGTTGCTTTCAGTTTGGAGGTGGGGCTTAAGTGACTGATGTTCTCTAGCACCCATGATCCATAGGTTGGATTCCAAAGGTTTTTAGTTTTGTTCTTCAGTCTGTGGGTTGGTGGATTGCTGAATTCTAACTTCTGGTTTGAATTCTGGATCCAGGATGTGCTGAAATCGCTGAGGCATGGCAGGCTGGGCCCTCGAGCAGCCCGGTTGCTGAGGTTCTCCACCAGTAGCTCTTGTGGACATTGTACAAGTTTTTGCCCAGGACGGTGGGAATCCAGGGTTTTAGGTGTCATCTGAGGTGTAAGAGAAGGACTCACCAACAGAGGCACTATCCCACTGGAAACATTTGGGCGCACAACTGTGTTCCCTTCATCCTCTGGTGCTGGACTACACTCCATGGGCAACTCTGTGTTGATCACATCAGGGTCCTAGAAGAAAGGATTGCAGAGAAATGCGTTACACCAAGTGCCTCCAGGGTGACTGTCACACCTGCATTTTCAGAGAAATAGCTATGCAAGAAAAGCTTTTGGCAGAGGCTGGCATTAGGTTTGGGCACTATTCCTGCACCTCATACAAGGTGCCATAAGTCATCTAGGTACTGCATGCTGTTAGGACATGCAAAAGTGTTGTCTTGCTTATGTACTTCCTTTGAACAGTCGCTGTGCTTCACTGAAATCAGCATATGAGCTGAGGGTTGCCAACATATAATTTGCCTCTCAGGCAGGTTAGATCCATGCCTCTAACTGTAAAATTCTACCATATGATGAACATGCTCTACCATATTCCCTCACCCCCCCATTACCAATTCAGCCATGACTTTCAACCAGCACTAGGCGAGGTCAAAGTGTGGACTTTTGCAGACACTAAATACCTTTCTATCACAAAAAGAAGGGCATTTTGCTACTGAACAAGCAGTGAACTGGAAGCACCACTTGCACAGGAACAGTATCATCTGATTTTGGTTGGGCTGAAGAAGGCGAGCTAAGGTAGGTAGATAAAAACACAAATGAAAAGAACAGTTGAGCCAGTACCACCACTGGAAAGTACATCAGCCTGTGAGGAGCCTTAATCTTGTCTGCACTAAAAGTGCATTTGGATGGCTGGCATTCTGGGGATTATCATCCACACAGTTACTGCGGGCCAATACCTGCGTGCAGTACTTGATTCTTTCCAGGATGGTAGAGAAATTTGGCCGGTATTCTGGGCTGTGCTGCCAGCACTGCGTCATGATGCGGTACCTTAAAATGAAAGAGAATCCATTAAGAAAGATAATTGTGAAAGTTGTGTTTCAATGTGATGTGAGCGTGGGTCCAGAAGAACTGCACTTGGTAAATGGCTCAAAGAAGTGGAGCAAAAGTTCACGTCATTTCTGCATCCTTGGATCCCAAGAGAAAGCAAATTCTGTAGTGGTCTAACTTATGTACAAGAGGCAGTGGCTCAAGAGATGCTCAATAATACTGGTATAGTATTTGATACAATCACCATTCCCCAATGGAAGGCGTCTAGTTGCCTTTGTCCAACCCTTTTGATAACCACTGTTCCCTAGTTGAGAGAGTGAGGAAATACTTACACAGGCCCTGGACAGTTCTTTGGTGGATCCATTCTTCCTCCACTGGTGACAAATTCCAGCACTTCCTGATTAGTTTTGCAGGGATAGGGCATGTAGCCTAGAGAGAAAATCTCCCAGAGAAGAACACCAAAGGACCTGTGTCAGAAACCAGACAACAATGCTGATTAGGTTTCCAAGTTTGTGCTCCACAAATCTGGAACAAAGTTGGGTAGTTAAAAACACAGCACCAACCTTTTCAACCTGCAGGCCAACTACAGAAGTGTGCAATTAGCATGGTTATGAGCCAACTTTGATTTAGAAAAAAACAACAAAACAATCAATCAAACCCTTGTTCAAGCTCCCGAAATCACTTTGCAGACACATCAAAATATCTGAATTTGTTCTTTCTGCTGCATTTGTTATTTCTAGAACAGAAAATGCCAAAGCACCCTTAGCTATGCATGGTCTAACTGAAAGCAAGAACTGTTACATTTGGCTTGGAGATTCCTATCTTACTTTGACAGACTTGAGATGTTTGAGTTGGTATTTGGCAAAAGGATGCTCAAGAATAAAACAAGTTAGAGATCTTCACTAGAAGTGCAAAAGTAAACACTATCGTTATATGGTTGCTCTTTTCTCTTTACATCTACAGGTCAGTTAGGCAGTGACACTCAAAACTTCTTACAGTGTAGACCCAGGGAAATCAAGGGATCTGCAAAGGCTTCAGTAGGGTCATTAATTTTAAGAGTCATTATTTGATGGAAAGGTGGATGAGATTTCCAGTACATACATGTTATGTACAATAGCCTGTTACAAGTTATAGGAACTGTAGTGCTCTCCTTCAAAATATTTACTACTGGCTGCTTACAGTTACGTTCTGATACACAATCCCTTGTCTTATGGCATTAACAACTTCAGGAAACTGGGTCAGTGTGCCATTTAAGGTAATATTTCAGTTTGCTTATTGAAGAGCACTGTTTAGGAAGAGGGGAGTTCTTAAGCAACTGGAAAGCTTCCATTCCTCAGCACCTTTGCATAAATGTGTCATTGTTGAGGGGGTGTTTTTTTTAAGGAAAAATCAGGCTACGTGAAGAATCGGTATATAAATACTGTTTCCTCAGCAACACGCAATGGCTTCTGCTTAAATCTGCTGTCAATTTATATACAAAAGAAAAAAAACCAACCAAGGACAGAAGAGTAATCCTGTGTGTTATAGATGGAGTCATTTACAAAGTATATGAGCAGGCCTTGTCACCAGTAAGCACTGAGTAGCAGATACTAAGAGCTGAAGGAAGTGTCTGCATTTTTGACTGAGACTTCTTAGGATTCTAAACGGTCTTCTCTTTACATTTCTTGATTACCCTTATATGATATTCTGCATTTATCTATGGCTATTTGTTATGCCCTACACTTGCACAAGAGTTTTTAGTTTCACTTAATTTCTTAGTCACTCTTCTAACAATGCAGACGGAAATATCTACTTTTTTTTTTCTTTTTCCATTTTAGGACATGGGAGATTGATATCTTTAGGGGGTCCTGCTGAGTAGACTTTTTTCCTTGAGCGGTAAATGTGCCTTATTAGAATAGCAGAGGTTATTAACAGGAAATAATTATTACCAGGTATCAGTTTTGGAGGTAAAAATGCCTTCTAGGAAAGCTTCTGGTGGCATCCACTTGACAGGAAGCATGGCTCTTCCTCCCTTGCGATAGTAACTTGCTCTGGGAAAGATTAAATATATGCAGAATGTCACACAGCATCAAAAGGCTAAGATGTATAAAAGATCCTATCACCACAGCAACAGGAACTGGAGAGAGTGCATGCAGTACTGGGGGGCAATTAAGAAAAAATCATCAACATGGATTGTACCATCTGAGCAGTATTTTATACCATGATTGCAACTGAGATGGAAAAATGATGATGTTTAGGTGCATAGCAGAAGGGATCAAATGTGCTGAAGTTGTGCATGAGGCACTGATACAGAAAATCTTCTTGACCTCATACATTTACATTTATGAATATTTTTATAATTTGAGATTATTTGTGGTCTAATAAATTTACCTGAGTTTGGTTTAGCATCCATATGTATTTGCAGTGTTCTCTAGGGCCCAGTCTGGAATGACACAATTTAAGTGCATTTGCTACTAGGCATAGATGTGTTAATTTACAGTCTGTTTACCCCAGTTAGTTAACTGGAAATCAAATTCAGAAATGTAATAGACAGTTCAGCTGCTTCAAATTAGATGAGGCAGTTCAAACCATTTAAATGGATACAGATTACTGAGTAATTTATGGGACTGAAATGGCCTTTCACTTACCTGTAGATATCTCTGGCCATCCCAAAGTCACCGATTTTGGCTATACGACCTGCTCCAGTACAGGTCAAAAGGCAATTCCTTGCAGCTATATCTCTTTAAGAAAAAAGAAAAAAAAAAAGGAAGAAAGAAAAAAAAAGAAAGCACATAAGAGAAAACTTCTTCATGGCGAAGGGAACAGAACACTGGAACAGCTGCCCAGGGAGGCTGTGGAGTCTCCTCTGGAGAAGTTCAGAACCTGACTGGATGATCTTGAACAGTGTGCTGTAGGTGACCCTATTTGAAGCAGGAGGGTTGGACTAGTTGATCTCATATGGGCCCTTCCAACCTCAGCCATTCTGTGAATGTATAATTCTATCTAACTTTAAACTCTTAACTAGCTAAAGGAATAAAGAAAGAATGTTACATCCAGCCCTACAAGTCTTAGCTGAGTCATCTTAACACAAATGAGGATAACTTTAGTGAAAACAAAAACTACAGTAACTACACAATCATTTTCATTAACTGTAATTATTAAACTGCATTTGCATTACATTTTGTACCATTTCCTCTCAGTATACTCTGAGCATTACCCGCTACCATCTTCTTTCACTAAAGCAGAAAACAGGGTCAGTCTCAGACAAGGTAAGGATCCAACCTCTTCTGCATCAACCACATTATGCCAGTATGTTTCTTTCTAAAAAGAAAACAAGAGTTTTTTCAGAGATATCAGCATCTCTGTCAGCAATGCAGATGTGATGCAATTGAAAAGTCTTAGTAAACTGCTTGAAAAGTAGGTTTGGTTGAAAAACAGATTTGGTAAACTGTTCCTTTGTTGCTTCTGGCAACCTCCCATGGAACCAAGCAAAGCTACATATGCGGGCAGCCATTTGCTGGATGGAAGTTTAGATTGTGACAAATGGTAGGGATGACTGCGTGGCCAATGCTGAAGGGTTTATATTAATTTTAAATACATGTTCTGAAAAGGGACTCATTAAAAATCATAGCTCTGTGTGGGTCCTGTTGGCTGCCAAGAAAAACGAAATCCTTGAACAACTCACGTGTTTCTTCCCACTGCCAGCCCTGAAAATTCCCGCAGGATCTGGAATTCAAGCTTAGCTTTTTCCTTTTCTCCTGTTATCATCTGTGACTCTCACATGACAAGACTTCACATACAAGACTAGGCCCTTAGTGACATCTCTACAACGTGATCCTTCCCTCCAGGATACCATTCACCTGTACTGACAGCCTTGTCTGGATTCCACATCTATGAACTCTAAATAATACTGATGTCACTAACAAATACTAACATAAGACCTAAATGAAATCCCTTTTATGCAGATCTGCTGAATTGTTGGCTAAAACAAAACGAGTCTGTTCCCAGGTTGCTTATACAAAAGATCTAATGGTGTAAAAACTGAGCCAGAGTTTTTTGAAAAACGATGTGCTACTGTTGGAGGAGACAAACACTGGTTTCTTCCATTTCTGTCCTGAAATTGAGCAGTAGGAGTAGGCCCATTCGCTTGTTGATACAGATTTTAGACACCTTATGTTATGGCAACTAGCCTTGGTGATCTATAGTAAGAAAATCAGGGAACTTCTACCTGAGTGAAGTAATGAAAATTGGTTTTATGAAAAATACTTGCGAAGAGCATTGCTGTGTAAGTTTTCATTGGAATTCTTGCAGCACAAAGCAAAAATTGGTCCTTATCATAAATTCATTAGACCAAGGTGGGGGGGAGGATGCAGGATACTGCTGTCACTTTTTTTTTAAATGATGCTATAGTGATTAACTGTGATGCTGCCAATCAAAATACTGATTTTCTTGTACTTATTTGGCATTCTAAAAGCTAAAATTTGTTGCATGTCCTTACTGCTTTTAAAATATTTATTATGACAGAAGACTGAAAAATCCCTTTTTCAAAAGAACTTGTCCCAATAAAAAGGAGATTGAAAACTGCGTATTTTCTTTTCTGATGATAGTTCTGCTGTATTTTCTTTGCCATCTGCAAAAAAGACCAATTTGTTTATGGAACTATAATTGTCTTTCTCTGGTTACTTCCTGTAATTCTTGAGGCAGATCATTCCCGAATGAAGACACACTCTGAAGCGATCCTCATAAAAGCTCTCAAGCATTGAGCCCTATGATCTCCAGATACTGCCCTGGCCTTCCAGCCCCCAGAAGACGCACACAGCCCTTCTCCCTACAGCCTTTACTAGGGAGCCTGTCAGCACGGCAGCCCGACGCACAGCACTTTCATTCATACAGCACACATTGCCCTTTGCCAGCCAGCCTCGTGGCTCACCTGAGGTGAAGGGAGGAAGAGAAATCCTCTGCCATCACCTGTTCAGTTCTCTGTCCAGACACAGTTGACACAGTCCTTTTATATTGCACTTTTCTTCATGTACGAGAATTACTAATCAGCACTTTTGAGGTGTTCTAAATCTGTGTCATCTAAGCTTTAAATTTACCATATTCTTTTAGTCTGTGTGGAAAAAGAACTGAGGCATGTGGAGAGGAAGAGACTTCACTTGAAGCCATATCCCAAGCCTGTGGCTGACATGGCAAAAGATTTTACATGCTTTGGTTGCTGTCACAGATGCTCTACTCATAAAGCCATAACATGTCCCCTATCTCAATCTCATGCCTTTTTGCCACTTGTTTCCCTCAGTCTCCCCAGTTTGCACACACCCTTGCCTAGCTCTGCTTCTTCGCTCTGTACAACACCACATTTGAGTACGTGTGTTTGTTGGGGGTGGGGTAAATTGCCTGACAACTTGCATAACTCCATGCTGCACGTAGGCTTAGAGCCTGTGTCACCCCTGGGGCAAAAGTCTCTCCTTTCCTTTACAGACGCCCACTGAACTCAGCATGGAGTTCATACTTAGGAACAAATTCAGTTTGTGCTATGCCTGGGAACTTTATGAGCTGAAACAATTCCTAAACAGAAATAAAGGAGTCCAGCATTCAACTAGAAATCTCAAAAGGCTACCTGTAAGAACCTGTACCCCTTCTACAGTATTTTACTCATGTTTGAACCCTACCAACATTTTCTTGCTGAACAAAGGGAAGAAAGAGGATTGAACAGAAAAATGATGTTCTCCTCTGCATCACACAGCAGGTCAGTTACTGGGAAGGAAGCCTGGAGTTCTGGTATTTTGCTTCCTATTATTCCAGCTCTACCCTACTGGAGACAACGGCTCAAATACGGGCAGTTCTGTGCTGATGGGTCAGGAGGATCGGAAAATAGAGCAGGCTGTTTACAAGCTAACACAGCGTGACACTACCATCTAGTGGACCATAGGGCTAATTTCAAATGTGTCTGTCTACACTGTAATAACCTGTAGATTGAAAACGCTTGAAACCATTCACTGCAAACAGGAAGATTCCTTTCTTTCCAACAGAACCCAACTCGTGCCAGTGACCAGAAGGATTGGCCTGGACACCTGACCACAAGTTTGTGTTGGTAAAGAAAATCTCTGGCTTCTCTCTGGAAGTAGCTCTGTTTAACATGCTGCAAATAGAATCCGGGTGAGCTTAGCACACTTTCAAGGAAACATACATCAGAAGGGACTTTTCCTCCTCACCTGTGTATGAAATGATTCTCTTCCAGATATTTACAGCCACAGGCGATATCCCTAGCTATGTTCAGCAGGTCCTGCATTGTTAGCGTGGATGGCTGATTCTGGAAAAGGATCCACAGAAAGTGGTAAGGGTAAAACAATGGAGTAGAAGAGGCAGAGGGTAATTGGAGAGCAGCAGAAGGGAAAAGGAGAGACGTGCACCAGGTGGGGGAAAGGCTGTATCAATCAGGAGCAAAGAGGGACACAAGCAGCTCAAAAAAAAAGTTAGAAAAGGAGATAATTTTTATTTAAGCTATTTTTTTTTCCTGGAGATTTTAGTACTCCTGAGCACAGTGCATGAGTGTAGGCTGCTTTTTGGGATTTATGTCCTGACCTGAATAGCCTAGAAAAGGGATGGGAGAAAACTGTTCCTAGCAGTATTGGACGTAGTGCTGAAATGGGAGGTAAAACCAAAACAAAGGAAAAAAAAAAAAAAAAAAACGAAAACAAAAACAAGAAAACAAAATACAAACCTTGCTTTTATAGAGTCAATACATTAGCAAAAGAGATTAGCTAATGAATTTAGAGAGAGGGAGAGAGCAAAGACGCATGAGTGCACATCTGTGCACCAGTGCTCAGCATTTGCCAACTCATCTGTTCTTGTGGGAGGGCAGAGAATACCCTGAATGTGCAGAAGAGGGACGAGATACTGCAGGGCTCTGGGACCAGCACACACCCATCACAATCTGCATTTCCCTAAAAACAATAAGGAAATCTCTCTCCAGGAGCCCTGCTTATTTTCACGCAGTCATTTATTTCTCTGTAGGGAAATCTCCTTGGTGTTTCTGCAAGAACTTCAGTATTGCTCTTGGGAAGGGTGGGGAGAAATTACTATATTGCTCATCAAAAGCTTAAGAGATATCAAATAAATTGCTCTTTTCAATCTGCTTTTGATCCTGGATGTTGTTATCTCTGTAATTTCTCCTGTTCAAACCACATAGTGTACACTGCAGCCACTGAGCACTGTTTTTATTGGCTATACAAGTTATTGTACAAAGCTCTTGGACACCTGCCAAGGAGAATTATTATAGTTATAAAACAGGCATTTCTGGTGAGGAAATGAAGAAGGAGATACAGAATCACAGACTTTGAGACCTTATCTCTTCACTGGGATCCCTCTGTCTGTAATGGGCAGGCATCTCTCTGCAGCCACAGAAACTTGCAGTGAAATACGTTACTGATGGGCCAGTTTGTTTTCAGGAAGGCGAGCATGGATATTTCTTTGAGTACTAAGGGGAATTCAGCTCTTGTATTTGCTATCTACTGACATTCCAGCAAACACAGTGGCAGGTTTGCTTTCACATGATATTTTAAAATAACTTTCTCACATTACAACTATACTTGATTTACAAAGATTATATTTTTATTCTGTTTTCCACAGAATTTATCTACTTGCAGAATTTGTAGCATTTTCACTCAAAATGGCATAATCAAAATTACACAGACTCCTCTGCGTGGGTGCTGTTATACCATTCTAAGTGCCCCTAATTAGTATATTTACTGCTCTGTGAAGAAGGAATTAAGCCAGATCTTCTAACAACACATTAGTATTGGCATATGATTGTACACACGTAAAGCTACAGTATGTGTGTTGAGAGGAGAAGCTGTGCAAGTGCACCAAATCATGTAGGAGTACATAAGGCCCCAGTCAACCTCATTCACAGTAAAACCAATCACATGCTTAGCAAGGAAGGTTTCTCACCGCTCTAGGTCGATTCTGTCGAAGAAAACTCTTCATATCTCCTCCAGCCATGAGCTCAAGCAGAATGAAGCGAGGCAGCGTCTGCAGGCTAACACCAATGCACTGCACAATATTTTGATGATTGAACTTACTGAAAGACAAGGTCACAGCAACACAAAGGGAGACAACGTTAGTACTTGGCTGACATCTGCCACGTTCACTCTGCTTTGAACTCTGATGACCTGGATCGAAGCAAGTTACTGAACAAATTCTAACTTCAGACTTATCCAAATGCCTTTCTAGTTATGAGGACTCCCAGGATCAGGGTTCCTCAAACATCCAAAAAGTATTGGCATATGTAAAACAAAATCTTGTTCTGTGGTGATTTTATTTCAGTACTGATTATTTCAAATATGCTGCTGCCTAGTCTAGTGGATTCAGTTCAGTATCTAGTGTGCATCTAATGCCCACTACAGCAGCTGATCTGGGGATGGCTTTCTACTGCAACAGAAAAAAAGACAGTCAGGAAGCAAGACTCAGTTTCAGAAAGCAGGGTCTTTCTTTGGACAGCAATGACCTGGAAAATACAGGAAGTAATAATGTGAAGTAGGTTGGGGAAGATCATATGCTACCAAGAGAATCAAAGCATCCTATAATTAACTGAAATTGCTCTTTAAGAACCCTATCAGTGTTACCTTCAGTTCATCTGCCACTCAAACTTCTTACAGACTTTATGAAGCAGTATTATGTCACGAGATTTATTCTTGAATCGTGCTTCAGCAGCAGAAAAAGAGCATCTAGGTAAAAACTGGGCCAGGTAGCAAGAGGTGGAAGAACTTAATCTTACCCAAATTTAAAATAGATAAATCCCATCTGTGCTACTGGCACAGTGCAGAGCCACGTTCACTACCTTATCCACACAGGAGTTTCTAAGTATCTCACTCAGCTATTTTTTATGGGGGGGGAAAAAAGTTAAACACGGATTTTTCCCAGAGAAAGCATTTATGGCAAATAGTTCTACAAATAAGAAAAGCAAAAAGGCTGCACATAATAGCATACCACCTGGAAAAGCCTCAATTTGAAATGCTTTTCATACCTTCTTCAGCTGCCCAAACCACTCTTCTAAAAAGCCTTACTTCTATTTGCAAGACATAATATTGTTTAAGCCGTAGCAACCAGAACCAAAAACTCACCTCCCGGGCACACAGCCTGTGTTGTACCATCCCTGGTAGTCATCTTGCAAAGGCTGAACTTCTGAGTCTCTGCACAAGTGGCTCTACTATTTAGCTTTCCTGTTACATTTCCTGCTTTCCATTTCACCACTGATAATTTATTTTTGCAAGAACTTCAATATATGATTACTTGATAAATGAATACTTGGTAAAAAAGCAATGAGATTCCTTGAAAAGGAAGCCATTTCAAACACAGAACAAGCTTGCACAAAAATGTTGTGCCTGAGCATGACCAGCAAAACCAATCAGGAGAAATTTTTGTTCAGATGTGCAACAAAAAAACCCCACAGATACAAGCGTTCAGGATAAACACAGGTGGCTAAAAACAGTAACTAATACACTAATACTAAAATACTATCTGGTGAAAAAAGAGACCGGATATTATTTTTTCCCCAAACCCAAGCAACAGAAGTAATATTTCTCATACGTGCATTAGTCCTTTTCCCCCCACTCACCACCAGTCTTAAACCCTTGAGCTATACCTGATAATCAGTGCTTCCATCAGGAAATCCATCTCATCTTGCTCAGAGCAGACTTCTGGCAGTGTCTGTTGAGAGTTTAAGAAAGCGAGGGCCATCCCACCAAATAATTGAGAACATTTAGGAGTGCACCAAAGAATAAAGAAAAAAAAAAGAAGCACATAACACGATTGTGAGTGACTTCAGGAAGCTACAAGGAAGGTCTTATCTCTTCAGTGCCAGTCAGTTGAACTGCCTGCATCCCATTCAGCAGTTAGAGGAACAGGAAAGTGGTGATCTACTTGGAGGCTTCGTTTTGTGTGCTTTTAACTATGTGCAGTGTTCTATTTCAGATTCATATTAAGAAATGCATTGGCTAGGGAAATGGAAATCTAGTAACACTTTAAAATCACAGGTGTGAATTTATTCTCCCTTTGCTATTAAGTCCACATTGCAGCACCTGCTTCACATCATACAGCACATACAGCCACTTGATTCATATAATTATGTCACACAGCCTCACAGCTTTCTCTCCTGACAACAGATCTGGACAGCATCTCCCACTGCTAAATGTGAACTGAGAGTGCAGGCAGCAGGAGCTGCAGTGGCTGCTCATGTGCCAGTAGGAGGATTATGGATGAGTTAGCCACAGCTGGGTGTAGCTCCTGCTGCAGTTTCAAAGTGCACACAGAAATGGGTGGCGGTTGTTGCTCAGTGAGGCGAGGGCTGGCATGGAAACCCAGTTGTGGTCACTGGCAGTGTGGGCTACAGGAGACGTTTTGTTATCTGAGATAAGCAATTGCTTCACACAGGACAGTGCAAACGATCTTCGCACTGAAAAACCACAACAAGCTGATCTGCTTCTGTTTGGCACTGTGCTATTGTGCTTCCTACAAGGCGTGATTTTTTAAAGAGAATTTTGAAAGACAGAGCAAACAACAACAAATAACAACAGGGCTTATTTCTATTAATAAAATCTATGTTTTGAGCTGAACCCATAGGAGTAGACTTAGTCCTCTGAGTCACAAGCTTGTAAAAGAACAGGAGGCAATGAGCATCTTGTACTTCTGGGCTGAGTAACTGACAAATCCTGAGGCAACAGCAGTAATTTTACAGAGAATTAGCCTGTTCTCCCTTGTCATTAATGACATGGAAAATTATGATATTACAAGATAAGACAGCAACATATTTAATGCCACACAGCACTGAGAAACAACCTGCAAGTTTCATCAATGGCAGGCAGACACTATTCTCACCTATAATGGAAATGTAACTGAAATAATTCAAATCATGAAATATAGTAATGTCACATGAAAAACTTATGAGAAAGAACTTAAAAACTGAAATGTAGAAGTAAAAATAGACAAGCATTACTATAATTATTTGCTGTTTCCTGTCATATAAATACTTCATACTAGTACTAGCCAGGATTTTCTGTTTTATGCACCAGATTAAGAAATCTCTTTCCAATCCAAAATGCTCTGATTGTTGCTAGTTTTGATTCACCCTAGCTTTCTCTTTTCCCAGCTACTCAGATCAATACATCACAGGGGCAGAAAAGCATAGGACAGCAGCTCTGTTGGCCTAGTGGACCTGTCAAGAGCTCTCAGTGATCACCTCAAAAGGAATCACATTTCTGGGGACCGACCAGATTCTCCACTGGGGTGTGGATTGTGTGTGAATTTCAATGATGTTATATTTATATCTATATATAGTTTTATACATATATATATATATATATAGTTATAGTTATATAGTTATAAAATATATAGTTATATAGTTATAAAATATATAAATATATATATATATAAATATATAGTTATATATTTACGCTGACAGATGATCTGTTATTCCATTTTAACATGTAGTATTAAGCAGTCTCTATATGACTAATACATATAAACTCCCTTCTGAGGGCACTGGTTCTCTCCTTCCTGAGCAACAGGGTGGAGGCTAGAAAAGAGATTGCTCTCTTTAGATTCTCATCCTAGGTTAGATCACAACTCATGGGCATGCAGCAAACAAGACAGCAGTGCTGGTGCCACACAACTTAAAAATCAAAGTTTATAACTCCCAGATGCAGCAGCACATGGAAACCTGCATCATATACACACTTCTGTCATTATACATGTGATTTGCATCAATCTGTTGGAATGGCAGTAAGATAACAGCACTGTTACTGATAATTATTGTTGTATATTAAAAAAACAACGATTGTGGGTACTAACCTTAATAGCCACCTGGAGAGGATTGGGATCCCCTGCAATGCCCACTACTGTTCCTTCATAAACCTCACCAAACGCACCATGTCCTAGTGCCCTGGGAGAAAGAGAAAGAGAGCAGCTGTTACTGTGTCTCTGCATGTCTCTGCACCAAGCACTGGCTAAGTCCTTCTTATTGTCCAGTCCAAGAATAGGTAGAAAACCTGTTGTAAAAGATGAATCAATAGCAGAGTTGTTTTCATCCCAAAGCTTCTGAAAACAACTTTTAAGTGTCTTCTAATGCCATCACTGAATTAGGGAGGTTGGATCATTAATGGGTCTGAATATATCCCTTCCAAATCAAACAGCCTGCTCAATCCTATGGCACTGTCAGGATGTGTGGCTTTAGCAAGGCAAAAAAGATCTATCTGGGGAGAGGGAGAGGAAAAAAGCAAACAACACATATAAAGGCAGCTGCAAGATGATCCCTTCAGGTGATGGTGTAACACAACACAAGATGGTAACGTTTTTATTTTCCTTATAGCTTTAATCAGGATAATCTGGACTATATAGAGAGGAAGAGCAATCTAGTGTGTATTTCCTTGTGTCAGGAAATGCAGAAAAAGAAATACTGTTATAGATTTGGAAGGGAGTTACTGTCAGGTAGCAAGTATAAACCAGGACATCACACAAGACAGAGGCAAAATAACCTCTACTCTGCATGGGAACATGGGACAGAAGACTTATGAACTTACACCTGCTCTTAAGAGCTTTATGGCATCAAAGTATTTAAGAGAACGTAGAAAGTGTCACAGTTTTCCTTGCCTGCAGTTGGTGCTTTCCAGTCAGTCAGACATGAAGCCCTCAGTTTCTTGTCATGGATGCTTGTTGTTAAACTAGCGCATAACCCCAACTCTGCCTTTGCTGCCTTCCCCCTCCTATGCCAAGCCTTACCGAAGCAGAGAGATGTTCTTCCGTGGGATCTCCTTCAGCTCACTCAGAGTGGCAGCCTTCCCAGCAAAGCAGTAGTTGGGGTTGTAATCCGTCATGATGGCTGATGTGCGGATTTTACTCAGTTTATATTCCGGGCTCTGCAGTCGTGCTCTGGCTCCTTCCAGTTGCTGCTTCTTCAGGTGATAAACTGGGGATGGAAAAAATACAAACAGTATAAGAACCTGGAAAGAAAATATAATGCTGGACACACAGAACAGAAAGAAGAAACTAAGTTGGTAATTACAAATGCTCAAGAAGTGGCATTAACTTTCCTGCATCTCTCTTCTGTAGTGATTTAATACTGAAGATGCAAACATTTTTGCCCCTGCAGAGCCGTGATCAGCTGGAAGAAACTTACCTCTGCTTCTCTATAAACCGGCAGAGGAAATGCTGCCTCACAAGACACCTTGCTGGCACTGAGGCAGCAAAAATGCATGCTGTATCTCTGAAGGAATTACATGTTCAATTACAGAGACAGCGAGTTCAGACTATACAGCAATGGCTGCAGAAAAAAGTGTCTGCCTACAGGTTTGTCCAAGGCTTTTTTCTGCAGCAAATACAAGGACAGAGCAGTCATTGGCTTTGGGGATTATGCTTGTGCTTATCTGTGGGGTGGTGATGTTTTCTATCATTTCTTTCTTCCTATTCCCTCTGTGATCCACTTGGGAGACCAAAACACTCTGGCTCCAAGTAGTAAAAGTAGCTGTATGTGGTTGGGTGGTCCCTCTTTGTCTAATTTAACTGAGAAAAAGGGAATGTTTCTTACTGATAGATAGGCTGCCACCAGTGAGGATCATTCCAAGCATCACAATCACAGCCACCACAGCTAGGAGGAGTGGGAGAGGCAGATGTCCCTCTGGGATATGACTGTGTGGCACTGGAAAATGAAAAACAGAGGTGCATTAATCAGGAAACAAGCCAAGCTGCAGGAAAGAACCCCTGTCACGGTTGCTGTTTTAGAAAACAGTAGAGATCACAGCTAAATCATCCTATAGAAAATACAGAAAATCCCTTTACAGCCTTGGAATTTGAAAAAAAAAAAAAATCAAAATCATTTTGAAAACATTGTTAAGTCAGAAATCTAACTAGTAAAACACAGATTGCTTACACATTCCTCAGTTTTGTCTTAATGGGTAACATTATTGCTAACAAGTTGAAACGGTCTACAGACCTGATGGTTTGAGATTCTAAGAGACCATGTCAGTAAATAGTGAATACTAGGCACCAGCTGAACAGACACGGTAGGAAACTTCTGCGGAAGGAAGTAATCTGTGGCTTAAATTGGGTGGTACACTATACAGGAAAGGTATTTATGCTTAACTATTTGATACACTGTATCCATTCAAGAAATTTACAGTGTCCCTTTACATTTAATTTATCTTCCACCTAATCCAAACCTGGATTTTGCATATGGTGGCAGACTTGCAGTTTAGCATACAAGGAAAGGACATCAGGAATTTTCAGTAATGGCTAATTGTATATAAATACAAAACCCAGGAAGAGACACCTACAAAGGATACATTCATTATCCAGTTAGGATAAAACTATATCTTACCAGTGCAGGTGACATTGTCATTGGCGAGCACAGCCCCCATCTCACATTGGCAGACAGGCAGGTTGGTGTCAGGGTCTCTCTTACAGTTGTCTGAGTGACAGTGGCTACAGTTAAGATAGATCTGAACCTCCACCTCACCATCATTCTCCACGGCTGAATGAGGAATCAGATACAACAAACAGGTTTAGTTTAACTTTTCCCATCTTTAACCAGTAAGGGGAAAAAAAAAAAGAGTAAAAGGAGTAGGCAGGTACAACTTCTCCTTTCTCTGCAGGACAGTTGATGCTGTGGGAGATCAGAAATCTGACATGGTCCAGAAGGGAAGAAGGAATTGAGTTCTAAGCAAACAGAGAAGTCCTAAAGTGAATTGACTTGAATGTGTCTAGGACTGAGGAGGTGCAGTTAAACTGGATGACTCTCCTGGCTTAACTCCAGGTCCAGAGCATTATAAACAATTTTAAAGCAGTAATCACAGCTGAGGAACTGGCCTGCAGAGTGAAATATGCCTCAATGAACTCTGTAAAAATAAAAGGCAGGAGGAGAGATAGCAGGAAAAAAGAAATAGAGAGAAGGAAGAATGAAGAGGAAGAAGAAAAACTGCATTGTACCTGCAAGTGGATGCAAGAAGATCTCTCCAATGGGATTCACAAATGAGATGCCATACTGCCCACTAGCTGTGATATCATCATTGTTAGAGGCATGCCCCCCTGGAGAAAGAGTATGGCTAGTTGTCAGTGCTGCATGCTGCAAAAGTGTGATGCCTCTGAAGTGCCGCATTTTGTCCCTGGCTCTAAACATTTGCAGTCACTCCCAGTCTTTCAGTAATATTACTGTGTATAACATCCTTAATGAATAAGGCCCACTCATCCCAACCAGTACCAAGGCTAGTGAAGTGGCTTATTCAACTGTAGGTTTCTCAGTTCATCTAGGTAAGAATATATTTGCTTTAAACAGAAAAAAAACCAAACTAAACAGTTCCTTGGGCATTTTGTGAACAAATAAAGGGATTATTCAGCATGTCTGGAAAATACTGGCTTAGAAATGCTTCTATAACCTTGATTTCTCCAATTAAATAAAGATGAAGTGGGGTGCTCGTGCCATTCGTGTTGGAGTGTCTGTAAATCACCTTCTGCAGTAGTGTACTTCTGCACTGAGAGCTCTAGTTCCTAGTTGCATGAATTCTGAATTGCATGAACAAAATGAGACAGTACAACTATTTCTTCAGCAGACCTACCTCTGTAACCTCCACCTCCTCCACCAGACGTACAAGCTCCTCCTCCACCACCAAAACCACCAGAGGTAGCCCATTGGAGCTTGGCTAATGCTTGTTGACAAGCTTGACCCCCTTGTCCACCTTCCAAGAGGGACTTCCCAGCTTGAGGAAGCAGAGTCTCATCTTGCCAGCCACCACCTCCACCTTCACAATCAAAGAGTCACAACAAAACGAGAGCAGGTGAATGAAGCACAATCAAAGAAAATTTAATTTAATTAAAATCAATTTCTTAAGAAGTACCTGCATTCAAGTTAACTCTTTGTTAAAGGGTGAGAGAATACAGTGACAAGCTTTTTGTTGCCATGGATACTTCCAGAAGAACTCTTTTTGTTAGAGTTTCAGGGAAGTAATAGGGAAAAAGTCTTCTCTTCTAAAGCCACTGTTACAGTTTGGAGGAGTGTGCTCCAACTCCCAAACATCATTTTCACTTGTGAACTTTCCAGAGAAGAGCACTCTTATGGAACAGCCACTCGTCATCTGTCCCATGCATTCTCTTTTTATTTAGTAATAGACCATATAAAAAGACATCCTTTATAGACTAGAAACGTATTTCTAACTACTACTACCACAGAATTCCAAAAGATCAAGAATGCCCTCACTGACAGTACAGCTCGTGCATTCAGCCATTTGATTTAGGCTTTCTGTAGTTTTAGCACCTCACCTGCTGCCCCAGTTCTTCCACTGACTCCTGGTACTGCAGTGCTGTTCTCAAATTGCTCCAGGGGAACATCATCCAGGGAGTTGTCCTGAGCCTTCAAATAGGCTTTTCCTCCTCCTCCTGCTGCGATGAGCAAAGGTTCGAAAATCCCATCCTTCTGCTGGAAAACCCCCCATCAAATATCAGAAAAACTTCACATCCCTTGAATTTGTGAACTCACAACAAACTCATCAAAAAGCACAAAAGCAATCCAAAGAAGGGAGGCCCAATGCCAGGGCAATGGTATTGATAATTTCCTGACTACATTATAAAGATGTTTTACACAATGTTTCTGTGTACAAAAGTAACTATTCAAATGAGTATCAATGGTTTGGTTTTTTGTTTTGTTCGGACTGCTTTTAGTATTAAAAGAAGACCCAGGTGTGGTTCCCAGATCTGAGGTGTCAAGAACTGAAGAAGCAGTTCAGCTAGCTTAGCGACAGTGATAAACATGATTGAGAATATGAAAAGATATAAAGAACTCAATTAAAAATACAAAAAGACAGAGCAACACAAAGAGAGGCAGAGGGGGGAGGTGGAGGAGAGAGACAGTCCTTTCTCATCATCTTCATTTAAGAACTAAGCTTCATAAGCCATGATAGATGGTGAAAGATAGTTGCTTTGCAGGACACCACTCAGGCTGGAGGGAAAGGGGCAATACTTACTCTAAAGATGTAGGTTGCTCCTCCTCCACCCCCGCCTCCTCCAGCCCAGTCCTTCAAGTCCTTTTTTTTTTTGTAATCTTCTTCAATGACAGATGACTCCCCTAAGCAGATCTTCTGGGTCTGAGGATTGGCCTGAAAGGAGAGAAGAGACACACTCAGATTATTGAGATGTATCTGTCTCAGTATGATAATAGTGTTTGTGATACATATCAGACATAGATAATATGCATGTGGATATATATACGTGAAAGGGGAGTTCCTCTACAACAAAGGATAGAGCTGCCTGCTACCTCTGATTTGCATGCAAGTGAAAATACAAAGGTCTGCATGGGCTGGCAGATCACATTTCTTAAAAAAATGTGAAGATGTGGTAACAAAAAATTCTTGTTGATGAGGTAACTTTTGAGCCTAAGTGATAAAGACTTCCACATCGCTGGGTGTAGTATTAGAGGACATCTGTATAATCACTCATGTTAGCAGTTTCTACTCATCACAAGTGGGGTTTTTTTGCCATTACACATGCCAACTCAGGGGCCACTGTAGTTAGTGGGAAGATTCCCACAATTTTTGGTTGGCTTTGGATTTAAACATTAGTCTCCAAGCTTAGAGAGTACCTAAGAAAGTGCAGCCACAATGCTGCTTTGGATTTGTAGATGCTTCTATAAATTACAGAAAATAATCCAAAATCCTGGCAGGCAGAAAGAAACTCAGGCTGTGGAAAAATAAGAGTGGGAATACACATCTCTTGCCTAGTAGCTCCCCTCTTAAAATAAGCAGAAGAAAGCCAATAATGAATTCAAACACCAGGAGCTTAAAGCAAAGTTCCTGTGGGTTTTGTATGTGTTTGCACATTTTGGGGTCAATTTTCTTTTCAGAGTCCTTCATATTTGTTTTGAGATTCTTTCTAACTTGGTTTATTCGTTCTTACCATACTGACTGGATTTCAGAGCTGGATCCTGGGATTCCTATCTTTCATCACCAGTCCAGCCAAACCCCAAGCTGCCCACTGAATCTCAGTGAATTATATCTGCAAAGTCTCTGCCCACTTGTGCCCTCACCCCAGGGCAGGCATCCTCCCCCTGCTGCCCCACTAAGATGTACAGCAGCTCATCTTTCTCCAGCTGGAAGGTGGCCGAGATGAAGACCCCATGGGACCTCTCATTGTGGTTTTTGGCTCCCTTCCCTCCAGCTGCTCCATAGGCAGAAATTCTGGAAGAAAAAGGTGTAATTAAAGAGACAAATCTTACATTTTTCATCCTCCAAAGCAGCTCCATCTGTGAGTTCTCCCCAGCCTGCACTCCCAATCACGCATTGCTCCAGAGCAGGCTTTTGCTGCAGTGTCTCATGGCCATTCTTTCTCTGAGACATACACAGCAGAGGCTGCTCAAGAAGATCAATCAGCTACACTGGAGCACTAGAGACAGACTTCAGAGCAAACAGAGTGAACTGGTATGGCCAAATCTAAAATACCAAAGCTCTGGGTCCAAAATGATAGCAGCACTTGTATTTGATTACACACCCGCAGTCACTCCTGTTCTAATCTCCTCCAAGTCACTGCTCCACCCTCCCATGCTTCAACAGTAGCTCAAACACAGAAACTTAGAGTTGCTCTCCTATTTCTTTCTTACTTTTCTATCCCTTCACCTACTCAGCAAAGATAGTCCTACACTTACATTTGCTGAAATTCCAGAACCAGAAAGTAGTTTAATGGTTGCTTCATCAACGCGCTCTGATACATACCTGTATCGGTTTGTGGCTGGCACTCTCCAGACTTGCACTCCCCGGAGCCTTCCCTCCTTCACCACAATCACTGACACATTGCTGCCCCTGTAGGCATTGTCACACTGAGCTTGAGTTGGCCCATGTGGACCACTGGCACCACATGTTGAGAACCACCAAAGAACAACAGACGTGTCCCCTGTGACCAGAACAGACAGAGTCAGGGCAGATATGAGCTTCCTTTTATTTCTCAGGCATGTGCAGTTAACTCACGGAACTCTTTAACTACAGGACATGTATCATCAGAATGAACAACTGTTCCTGGTGTCTTTGTGACTCTTTGATGACAAAATGATTGTTGTTCACAAAACACTAATGATTTTTTTTAAAGTTAGATTATTATGAGAAAGATCACATTGCAGTAGTATTTGCTATGTACAGATCTTTTCAACCGAATATGTTAATTTATCATTCGCTCATGATTATAATTAAAAAAAAAAAAAAAAGCTTAAACTTGCATTGCAGTTCTCTCAAGGAGCTCTCTCAGTCTGCATACATATCTGGAACTGCCCCAAAGCATACACACAGAAATAAGAGTTGAAAATGTCTAATATTGTGACTAGTGATCATCGATGAGAGGTGATAACAGTTTTAAAAAACATACGATACAGTGCATGCACAGGGTCAGAGTTAAGTGATACAGGATTTATCAAAGTAGAACTGTTTAAGAGCTGAATAAGTAAAATTGGATTAAAATAAAAATCACAAGCCTTTAAAGGAAATAATCAGATCTTCTTTAAAGAAAAAGACAAGCAAAACTATCCCCTACAGATGTTATCCTGCCACCATGCAGTGTTAGCTCCACTACAGAAATCTCCGCCATTTAAGCTAATGGAGGAACTGACAGCAATATGGATTGTCAGATTTCAGACGAACAGAGCTCAGAAGGTTTGTGCACACAGCAAAGCGACCTCAAGACACAGGAATCTTGTATTTTACTGAAGGCTCTTGGGTGGAATATCCTTTTTTTGTACTTAGTGGATTCTGCTTCCTCCAGTCTCCTCATGCCCTCCTTTAGACAGCTCTTCTCACCCACACACTTGGTGTCTGTCCCTCAGAGCAGTCCCCCTCCACTGATATCAGTAAACAGGACCCTAGTGACCCTGGCTCTCCTTGCTTTTCATTCAGTTTATCTCTTTCGTGGATTTCCAGATTCTCACATTTTTCCCTCCCTGGTTCTTTTACACTCATATTCTCCATCCATTGGGTTCAGCCTCACTATTCACTAAGTCCCAGCAGTTCAGTATCTATCCCCAGCTTTCTGTACTGATCTATGCCTTTCTCTCCTGCACTGGCTTTAGCACATTTCAAATTTCAGTCAGGCAGCTTCTGTTTTTACTTACAGCTTCTTTACTTATGGGCTCCACTTTTCTTTAAAAATATCCTGCTCTTTAGAGACTGATGATCTAGACCTCAGGAAATTGCTGCCCCACAGCCAAGCAGATCTGACATGGTCTCCACTACTTTAGGAAAGATTATACTTCATTGCTCTGTGCTATAGCTGTGCTGACCACACTCAGGCAGATCACACACAGAGATAAAAAGGAAGCCACCTCCTACAGACAGGTTTTCAGTACTGAATCATTTACCTGGGAGGGAGGGCTCTTCCAGGGGGTTCAGAAGATGCTCATCACGGCTACTAATCTCCCGTGGGTACTGATGCTTTCCACTAAAATGAGTTGGCTGTCTTCCTGTAATAGTTTGTAGAATGGATAGGAAGATGATAGATAAAAGAGAGGCAAAACTTAAAAGTTTACATGAATCAATGCAACATGACCATTTGTTTAAGCTAAGTATATAATATCTTGGACAGAAAAAGTATTTTAAACAATCAGCATTTTTTTAACTGATTTTCTTGTGCCTGTATCTTGGCTTAGCTACCTCTACCTGTGCTGAAATCAGTGGGACTTCACATGAACAAACAACCTGTCTTATTCCATGGAGGCTCACCTGCAAGATAAGCTCACTGGCAGCAAACTGCCAGAATCTTCAAGAAAAGCACGGTATGGGAAAACAGATACCAGTGGTGCTCTGCTGGTCAAAGGTGTAAAGGACAGCAATAGCAAAAAGTGTTATCTTTGGTTCTTAATAGTGTCATGGTAGGTAAACCAGCTTTGGATCACTCTTCTCTCACAAACGAACTTCATACCCCTCCACCCCCAACCTTGTTTAAGGAATAATTTGCTAAATAAAATGATGTCACACTGACAGACACAGTAGAGAAACAGTAGTACACTCTTGGCAATATCTGTAAATTTTTTGACAAATCTTTCTGAAAAACATAGAGCAAAAGGCAACATTTATGCATAGTGAAACAGGCTTTTAAAAATCAGCCCTTTCTCAGGGAGGAGAGACCTCAAAGCAGAGGCTGAGCCAAAGCATCCAAATGCACTGAGAACACCATGTGTAACCAAAGCTGCCTTAGAACAGGAAGAAGTAATAACTCTTGATTTATAATCTGCAAGCATCGTGTTTCCATAGTTAAAATACCCATTTGTATGCAGATCTTTGTAAGAAAATCTCTGTAAGAAAAAGGAGACAATTTATGAGCCCTCAGTTAATTTAATACTGAACGTTTTTCATTAGTTGAAAAACATTACAAATATTTCCATTTGTTCCAGTTGTGAGAATCTAACAGCTGTTTGATGCACTATTCAAAAGAGACTCATTCAATTCCAGCTGGACAATTATCTCTGCTGCAAAGCCACTGCTCTAAATAGTGATAATTAACACACTTGTTAGCTGTGTCAGAAAGGCCAAATAACTAATTGAAGCATGGAGACCTTGCTGTGCTTTTACTCCTGAGAATATTCCCTCCAGGTCTGTGTGAAAGCTCATTGATGGATGGAAGTAAAAGAAAGCTTTGTACTGACACACTCTGTTCATACCGAGATAGAGAACTTCAATGGATGGAGTTGTCAAGCAAGTGAAAAATGAAATTAACCCAAAACAAATGATCTGGATCAAAGGCAAGAAGGAAAACCAAATGAAAAAGGCAACGCATAGCGAGAAAAGATGCTTAGTCTCCCTAGGCCTGCAGTGAATTATGAATCCCAAAGGTCAAAACAGTTTCAGATAGTTAGAGATGAACAAGAAGTCTGGTTACGTTTGCCAGATTGATGGAATGTAAATCAATCCCTGAAATACAGACTTGGTCTGTGTGTCTGCATGGATTTTTATTTATTTTGTTTGCAGCATCCCAACTGGCTATCCTAAGGCAATGCTTTGTTTCCAAACAAACAATCTCTCCTCCTTCTCCAAACAGTCTCAAACCTTCACACACTAGAAGAAAGCTTCTGTCTCCTGCTTTCAGAATGAGAGCTGCATGACAGGCCAAGCACCAGCCTGTCCACATGAGCCATTAATTCTTAGGAAGCTGATCCTTTATGTGCCACCAGAAATGAATTTGGAAGGTGGCAAGTGCTCTTCTGATAGCCAAAATATTGACTGCAATTGGACAGAAGGGAACAAGAACTATTCATGTTTAGGTATACTTATATCAGAAAGACATGAAGAGCAACTACATCACTCCAGGACTTAGCTCACGCTGTTGATTTTCACACTGGAGATGGACAGTAGAAATCATAAAAGGAAAGGGAATCTTCTGCAGAGACAGAGCTACAGTAAATAGCTCCAATTTCCATTTCTGAGACTAATGAAGAAGGATTTAGTAATTTTGGGGCAGGGATTAATCAGAATAAAGTGCCTTGCAGTATCTTCAAAGTGTGCATGGTCTCTTCAAAGATCTTACCTCACTCATGCAGGTGGAGCACTTCTGGAAGCCTCTCCAGCTTGTCCTGGAGTGGGACAGAGAATGAGGAAGCTGCACCAACGTCCCCATTTCCCAGCCCTTTGGCTGATTCAACTGCATTTCTTGTCAGTACCTTACTAACTCAACCAAATGGGGCTGTGCTGAACAGCTTGAACCTCCCCACACCATTGGCCTAAAACAATGAGACTGGCAAGCCAAGCTCCCCATAGCTTGGAGATTCCAGAGTAAAAAACAAGAGATATCACATAAAAGCTCTCTTCAGACAGTCTTGTCATTTAAAAACCAGTCTTTTTAGAAAGTATAAAGGATGTACAGATCAAAAAGTAACCCCTTGGCCAGGACAGTGGAGCGCACTGATGGACCACTGACCTGTGTTCTTAATTGGAACAATACCATCTTCAGAGCACTAAAAGCTAATGGTAAAAGCAGTGGCCATGAAAGCATCGAGGAAGACAACAGTCGTGCCAGCCCACATTTTCACATTTAGACACTCAAAACTCAGATCTCTTTCTACGGAAGCACTAGTTAGCTAAGAGGATAAAATACTTGTATCTTTATGGCTGTCCCTTAAAAGTTCTCACAATGAATAAGATCCATGCCATCTGATCTATGACACTGACTTTAAACAAGGTGATTTTATTAACCAGAAGATGGTTTTGCTTAGCCTTTCTCACAGGGAAAGCATCTGTTCCTGCCCAGGGGCTGCCATCCAAAGAATGGGCTGTTTGTTTTTTGTCCCTACTGATGTCTCTTGAGCTGCC